AATAAAATAATTACAAAATTCATTACAAAATTATATTTTATTGAGATATGTTAAAAAAATATTATAATACTAAGATGTGTCTTTTTAAGCATTTTGTGAAGCATTTTGCCAAGATATGTAATAGCAAAAATACATGGTATGATCTAGGAGTGTCAAAATGGGTTGATGTATTAAGTTCGACATGGATTCGCCTAAAATGTGCTACAATTACGGTGAACACAAACACGACCAATTTAATAGTTGTGTTAAATTTATCGACATAAACACGATACAAAAATTAGAAAGGTGACACGAACACGACACATTTAACCTGTTTAATATCATAAGCAGGTTAAATGGGTCGTGTTGACTCATATACAACCTGTATAACCTGCTTAATATCATAAATAGATTAAGTGTGTCGTGTTGACCTGTATACAACCCACTTAACCTACTTATAATATTTTTAAATTTTAACCTATTTAACTTCGATCATATTTAAAAATAAATTTCCATACATAAAATACACAAAATTTGTAACAATAAAATTTAAATAGATTTTAGCCAGAATATTTATATCTAACACTAAATACCTCTTTACTCTTAAATAAATGAGTCACTCGCCTAACCCGCGTATCAAGTCGCGACACGACACGTTTATATTCGTGTCATAAATGGGTAACTCGTTTATGACACGAACCCATTTAACCTCAACCCTAACCCATTTATTTCACGTGTTAGGCGAATCGTATTCGTGAGTCATGACCATTTTGACACTCTTAGTGTAACCTGCATCAAAAAATATATACACACTGTTAATGTATTTTTCAATAGTGATAATAATTTTGAGAATTTAACTAATTATATTGAAATAAGAAATTAAGTATTTTTTTAGTTTATATTTATGATTTATTTAGTTTTATAATTTATGATTTATAGTAAAAGATTGTTATTTAGTTTGAAAATATTTAATGTGTTATACTTATTGTAGGTGTAGTGTGCTTAAGCATGTAGATGTTATACCTTTTTAAAAAATTTATCCTATTGAAATAAGAAATTAAGTATTTTTTTAGTTTATATTTATGATTTATTATAAAAGATTGTTTATTTATTTGAAATATTAATGTGTTATACTTATTTAGTGTAGTGTGTCTTAAGCATGTAGATGTTATACCTTTTTAAAAATTATCCTATCAAGTACGTCTTTGTATCTCGTGTCCCGTGTCCGTACAACCTAACTCCTAATGCATGAAACTACTTTATATACCAAGCTAATCAATCAAGATTTTTTTATTACCAAGAAAAAAATGAAGTTTTTTTTTAATTTATTTTTGTGTCTTTTTTTATTAATGAAATCAGAAAAAATAATAAGGAACTTTTTTTTTTTTTTTGTAAAAAACTTATGTTACTTATTTTTTTTGGATATAAAAGAAAAATAAAATTTATTTTTATAATTTTTTATTTTCCTTCCAATTTAAAGGGATACTTATCAAAAATTTTTTCCCTAATATTCCTTTCTTATTTCTAAATAAAATAATTTTTGCTTACTAATATTAGTTTAATTTTATTTTCATTTTTCCTCCTATATGATATTATCTCAAAATATTAAACAACTTATCTTTTTATACTTGCTGTTATTACAACTTATCTTTTTACAATTATATTAAATAATTGCTCTCCTTACACTTGATAATTTAAGAGACTTACATTTAATTGTCATTAAAGATAAACTTCTCTGCTTTTATAATTATATGATGCTAATTTTTTAGTTATTTTTTATACGTAGGAGGCTAATGGATCGGAAGAATACGTGGGCTACAATAAACATGATCACAGTTCCAGAGCCACTAAATTTCAGTTTTAAAAACATCGGTCCTGATCGTAAAAAGGTGAAATCAGAATCTAACTGCTTTTAGACGATTTTTAAGACGGATTTAGGACTGCCGATTTCAGTTTTATTTCGATTTTGAATCAAAATTAAATAATATATTTTAAACTTTTTCAAATGATCTTTTAGGCTTGCAGCTTGAATAAATAATAATAATAATAAATAGTATTATTGGGAAAAACTAAATCAATTCAATAACAATTCTGAAAAGTTACTTTAAAAAATTATAATAAAATAAAAAAATAAATTAGAAGTTTCTTTAAAGAAATGTTTTCCATTGTTTTAATCTGGAATCGCCGGTTTCGATTTCAAAAAATAAAGGATCGAAATCAAACTTTAAGTGCACGATTTCATTTATGATTTGGAATTAGAACCATTGACTACAGTTTAGTGCAGGTTCGGCTTCGCTTCGATTCTAATTTGAAATCGAAACTGGAACCGCCAATTTTGATTTTAAAAAAATAAAGAATCGAAACCAAATCTTTAAGTGTACAGTTTCAGTTACGGTTTAAAATCAGATCTGCTGACTACAATTTAGTGCTGGTTGGTTTCGCTTTGATTCCGATTTGAAATCGAACTGTAGTCATCTATAGCCTATACAGTAAAGATAACCCTCGTTTAAATAACATTCGTTGAATTATTGCCTACAGTATAATATTGTCTACTCATATGGTATAATGTAATTGGCTGTATACTCTAATTAAACTCAATGTGAAGTTATTCCAGCTTTGCCCTCCTTTCTTTAAAATGAAAATCCAACTCAGTTTCTTTATCTATCGGCCTTTCAGCTTTTGAAACTTTGCATTTGAAAGATAGTTATTTGACCCAAATATAATCTTACTTCATGAGTGCTTCTGGTTTCCTCTAGCAGCTTCTAGAGAATAAGTTAACAGTCATTTCTTAATTATTTTCTAAATTACAAGTTGGTCTCCATATCACGGAAAGCCTGTGAGAAGGCACAATTTCTTTTTCTATTTTTCTATTAAGGGCAAAAGGAGAACGCTTATAAAGGAGTAGCTAATAGTTAATGAAATAGTTAATATTGCTCAATAATGTCTTAGAGGGAGTGTATGATTAAAACTCTGTTATATTTTAAAAAATTGTAAAATTTAAATGATATTTAATCTAGATTTTTTTGAAATTCATTAAAATTTTTAGTATCCAATTTAGACTATTATAAAATTCATAAAAATCTGATAGTATTCAATCATGATTTTTTTAAAAGTTCATACAATTTGATGGTATTCAAAAAATAGCTAATTTGAAAGGATTCTATAAAATTATTGATTTCATTGAATTTTAGAGCGCTTTTACGAATAATTTCAGAGTCCTCCAACTCAAAGATTTCAAAAATATTTTAAAATCTAATAGAGTTTGAATTCAATACACCCCTTAATAGGGATAGAAGCGAGGTAAGTACCTATGAATTTTAAAAATTACCATCCGTTTAAAATTTTATTATCCGTATTCGTTTTAACAAACTCATTTAAATACTCATTTAAGTATCCATATTTAAATCCATTTAAATTTTTAGTGCCTGTGTCCATCCAAAACATGTTTAAAGTATCACTTAAATTGGTAGGATACCCGTGAATATTAAACTATGCAAATTCAAACTTATTTAAAATATATTTTTTTACAAATAATTGATAAAGTAGCTGCAGGTAGCCACTGTCGACCCCGTTTAATATGACGGTTAATGAGTAGCGGATATCCAAAGATATAAACCCATATCCTACCTGTATCCGTTACGAGTAATAATTTCACTCATATTTATTAGGGTAGTAATTTCACTATCTATATCCGTTTTAAATCCATTTATAGCTATCTATATCCTCTTTAAATGAATCAAAGTGGAGCGGGTACTTAAAATATCCATATAGCTTCCATCCGTAGCTCTTAAGTTGTAAAACATGTATTAATTATTGTCTTAGTTTCAAATTAATCATTGTAATTTCATCAAAGTCAATCAAAATTTATAAAAAAAGTATCCCATCAATCGCATAAAACTATATGTGGAAGTCTAGTGGAATATGTAAAAATCTTAGGAAATCATTCAATTCCGCTAAACTCAACATTTTTTTTTTTTTTAAATCTAACACAATCCTAATCCAATACAATCCCTTAGAAAAATTAACGTCTTAGGTTATGTTTGGTAAAATCAGTTATTTTAGTAGCTATTAATTATTTTAACACATGTCAATCGTTTTATTAGTATTTCATTAAATTTGTAAAGGAATTACAGTTTATAATTTACTCTCTCAAAACTCTAAATATTAATGTAAACTCTACTCCATCATGCATTATAAATAATAGAGTAATATTTCATAATTCATTTTTTTCAAATTCAAACACTGATATAAATATCATGGCACTAAATATTATAAAAAATAAAACTAATATTTTAATTTTAGTCAAAATATGAAATACCATGTTAACAGTTGTTGATGAATTTTATTTAGTAATATTAGCTATTTTAATGATCGTTACTTGTGATAGTAGCTATTGATTTATAATTCTCAGTTGTAGTTGCTTATAATTAATAAAATTAATAAATAAATTGTCAAAGCTAAATATTGTTTGGATATGTATTTATTGTCAAAAGAAAATTTTGTTGTAAATTCTACAAACCCAATTTGACTGCAAAAAATTTAAATTAATATGATACATTAAATTTGATTTACAATACTAATTTAAACAAATCAAGGTGTACTTAACATAAAAAATTTAGTTAAAATTTTATTTTTATTATAAAATGAAGACGTCCGTTGAAAACAAATTAAATTGAATTAAAACAAAAAATATTGATAAATTATATATTTTAAATTATTTCTTCCCTAAAAAAAAGTTATTTATAACGATTCAAACACAACTGGAGGCAATGAAAAAACAAAATTAAACATTTTAAAAAAGAAACGCGATATTCAGGTTCTCGTACGTTCATTTCTGATAAGGACACGCATCTACAACTTGACTTATCAACGGAATATGCTGTAACAAACGTAGGCTCTAGACGGACGGTAATTCTACTAACTTCTTATCCAACTAAAACACACCACGTGTACGCTCATAATTACAGTTTCCTTAATAAAATATTAAAAACGGGTTTATTTATTTATTATTTGGCGACGCGTACTAAAACGAAAGACACTTTCTCACAATCGTCTTCAATTAAGACTCCATTTTCGTCAAGAAAGTCTTCTTCTCTCCATTAAATAGTTATATCTCTTTAACTTCACCAAACTAACACCGCTAAATTCGCTCCTAAGAATAAGATTTCCTCTTTTAGCTTCTTCTTTCCTATCAAATTTTTACACCTTCTGTGTAATTGCATTATTTTTCTCTGTTTTGGTCGACGTCGCTCGCTCTGTTCGATCTCCGGCGGCCGTTAATCATGGCGGAGATCGAACATATCGTGCATAATGCCTTGTTTGGCAAGTATGAGCTCGGTAAGCTCCTCGGCTGTGGTGCTTTTGCCAAGGTCTACCATGCTCGCAATGTTCGAACCGGACAGAGTGTCGCCATCAAGATCATTAACAAGAAGAGGATTGCTAATTCTACCTTAATGTCCAATATCAAGCGTGAGATCTCCATTATGCGTAAGCTTAACCATCCGAATATCGTGAAGCTTTATGAGGTATTAGCTTCTAAGACCAAAATATATTTCGTTATGGAATTTGTTAAAGGTGGAGAATTATTTGCTAAAGTTGCTAAAGGACGCTTTAGCGAAGATCTTAGCCGCAAATATTTCCAGCAATTGATCTCCGCCGTTGGTTATTGTCACTCCCGCGGTGTTTTTCACCGAGATTTGAAGCCTGAGAATCTCCTCCTCGATGAGAATGGGAATTTGAAGGTTTCGGATTTTGGACTCAGTGCTGTTACGGACCAGATCCGAACCGATGGACTTTTGCATACTTTATGTGGAACACCGGCTTACGTTGCGCCGGAGATTTTAACGAAGAAAGGTTATGATGGTGCTAAGGTGGATGTTTGGTCATGTGGTGTCATTTTATTTGTTTTAACCGCCGGCTATTTGCCTTTTAATGATCCGAATCTTATGGCTATGTACAAGAAAATCTACAAAGGCGAATTTCGGTGCCCGAAATGGATGTCTCAGGATCTAAGACGGTTCTTGTCTCGGATTTTGGACACGAATCCCCAAACGAGAATAACTGTGGACGAGATCTTGAAAGACCCGTGGTTCACGAAAGGCGGAGTCAAAGAAATCAAGTTCTACGATGAAGATTGTGTTAAAATCGATAAAGACGAACCAGAAATCAGAAACTTGAACGCTTTCGATATCATTTCGTTCTCGTCCGGTCTGGACTTGTCCGGTTTGTTTGATGATTCGTACAAGGCGGTGGAGGATGACGACCTGTTCGTTTCGTCGGAGTCACCAGAGAAATTAATTCAGAAAGTGCAGGAGTTTGCCAAGGTCGAGAGGCTGATGGCGAAGAGAAAGAAAGAATGGGCATTTGATCTTGAAGGGCAAAACGGTAATTTCGTACTGGAGGTTGAAGTTTACCGGTTAACGGATGGTTTGGTTGTTGTGGAGGCAAAGAGGAGAGGTGGTGATGCTGGATGCTTTAAACAGATATGGAAAAACAAGCTTAAGCCTGAGCTTAGTGGGTTAAGTGTTTGTGAACCGGCAAGTCAGGTGACCGGAAACTGAAACTTTTCGGTAGCGTTGGGTGTAAAGTGATGTATGCCGGCCATTGTTGTTTGTTGTAACTAAAAATATATTTAATTTTTATTAATAAATTATTATTATCATCATAATGTATGGATTTTGCGATTTTTATTCGGAATAAAGGTCATTGCTGACGCTGTGGTGGAGGTGGTGAAGGTTTGTTTTTGTAACCTGATGTTTTTTTGTTGTAAAGGAGAGGAAATGGTCCCGTACAGCTTTTTCTTTTTGTACAGAATTTAACAATGAAATTATTGCTATAAAAAAAAAAAAAAGAAAAAAAAACACCATTGTTCTGGATCTGGTGCATGTCAAGTTGTCCTTTGAATGCTTTTGTTTTTGATAGTCTTTTTGAATATTAAGGGGTTTGATTCATTGAATGTGGACATTGCCAGCAGTGAGGATAACATGTAGTACATGTTTGCTAAGATGAAAGCTCTCTCCAATTCAAAATCTCCCTAACTTCTTATTTGGTTTTACAAATAGGAGGTGAGAATATAAATATAAATAATTTCTAATTCAAAGTCATGAAAATAGAATTTTTACTTTTTATTTGAAGTCCTTAACTTACATAAATAAATCTCCAAGTCACTCTCTATCCAACCTAAACTTCAACCACCATGGATGATCTCTTCCAATTTGATTTTGGAGAGATCAAATTGGGCTGAGTCGACCAACCAATTAAAATTAAATTAAAATAAAATTTTTATGAAGATTAAGGTTTGAATTTGTAATAAAAAAATAATAAAAGGCAGGCCCACTTATGAGCTTGGTTAATTTACCCCAAGCCCAGTTCATGATTAAATGCACCGTATTATCATTCAAAATGGAAGTGTGCGCTAAATCCTTTTAGGTTGATGATTAAAATGCACCGTATTATTGTTCAAAGCGGAAATCTCACTAAAATTTTCGCCATAAACCCTACTCTCCTTCGCTCCAACATCTCCATCAATTACCGGCAAGCCCAACTCCCTCGCCCCACTCACGTGGAAGCCTCCACTTCCGTTCGAAACGGAACTCTATAAGGATTCCTTTTTGTCTTAACCGCATTTGCTTTGCTTTAGTTCGTCAAGATTACTATCAGTGGCAAGTGCAATTGATGAAACTTCGAGCTTTGCTCCTGAAGAACATGACGGAGCAGTAGTAGTGGAAGTCGCTACTTCTATTGAAAAGAAACCGTATAGCAAAAGCATATCAGCTGAACCACCGGCTAAAATCCTGACCTGAATAGGTTTGTTCTCGAACCTTCACTTCATTTTCTTTTCTTTTTGAACATAATTTATACTTTTTTAGTCTGTATTTTATTTGGTTTCAAAAAATTGGTCGTATGGAAATGAAATGATTAATGAAATGATTAGTTGATTGCTATGATGATGCCATAGCAAGCAATTCTCCATTAACACAATCTCAAATTTTAATGGGTTTGAGTAGTAAAATGGTGAGTATCATGATCAACTGAGCATGGGTTCTCTTGTACTGAATTTCGAAATTTAAAGAGAATGCTAGAGGAAGGTAATCTCGTTTTGACTTCAGATTGTAGAATTAGGCTTTATGCTATGTTGAGTTGGAGTTATAGTTATTATGATTTTTATATTGTTGTTAATTTGTTATTAATGTTATTAGCCTAGTTTGTACATTTATGGTTTTATGCTTTGTTTGGTTTGTGAAATAGAATGAAATTGAGAGGAATGAAGTGACTGTTCTTCATATAAGTATGGAATCTTTATTTTACAAAATTGTGAAATATTTATTTTATGTGTTAATTATTGCAGTTTTTCAGATTTTGGAATAGCTATTTCATGTTAAATTCCTTTCTATCAAATAGCTAGTCTTCTTTGATGTAATTTCATGCTACTTTATGAGCCAAATGAAACAATAAATGTATATTCTATTTTTTTTATCTGATACCGTATAATTTAAATTTGCCAGGTGATGCTCTAATATCTATACCAATGGAATTTTATTGGCTGTAGGCTACAAAGGGCGTTAATTTTTCTTGAATTGGAATGTTGAGCTAGAGGCAATTTGGAGCTATAAGCTTGATACGGAATACTTGAATTTGGACATACTTAGAATTCTGAGAAGGAAAGAACAGGGAGGCTATCGAAAAATTTTACAAGAGGAGGAAGTTTTATGCCGATGGACTTGAAATCAAGGGGAAAAAGTAAAAAAGTCCACTATCATAGTCAACAAGGGAATAGGAGTATGCTTGATGGGAAGGGAAAGGTACCTGTTAATTCAGATAGGAAAACGAAGAGAATCTTTGCTGATCAATATGTTGATGCAGAACTGACAACCGGCAGAAAGACAAAGGAAAGGAATCGCAAAGTACCACCTCGCTCAATTTGGGTTTCTAGTAGAATGAAGGATGCTACTTCATCAACAGCACATGCACAGGAGTTCAATGGTGAATGGACCAGCAAGGGGAAGGAGGCAGATGTATTGGGTTGTAACACGTATGGTTTATTGAAGAAGCACAACCAAAGAAAATCTGACAGGAGTAAGCGCTTGATTCAAAGTCAAACAAAGCATTCTGATGTATCTCCTTCAGCATATGCAAAGAAAACTGTTCGGAAAAAACAAAGCCTCACTAATGATGATTCAGAGCTAGATGATCAGCCAAAGAAGAAAAAGCGCATAATTCGGTTAGATCCACATGATATCTCCAATAAACGGCTGGATGATGGAATAGTTACTAACGGTAAGAATGTTACCAATTTATGGTGTTTGTAATGTGTTTGTCTTTTGTTCCTTGCCAAGGTTTATTTAAATTTTTATAATATAATAATACTTTATTCAGAAGAAATTTGACTACAATTATCAGGAAAGTACTCACTTATCATAAAAAAGACCATAAATGGAAAATTCAAGGAAGAATAATTAATATGACAACACGGCTTTCTAGTACTGTTGAACATTAGCTGAAGGTACCTTACTATAAGTAACTTATGCAACGCAACTGCATGTGCATATCTCTACTCACTTTGACTTGTCAAATAATGATAAATATTGTGTGCTGAAGCTCTTCTCCACCTTTTTCTCAAAACCCTGAGCTGGATAAATAGTGATGTCCTTAGAGTTTGAGACAAATATAGATTATGAGTATAAAAAGCTTGTTACGAAGGCAAAAAGAATGCAGAAATTGATTAGGTTCTCAGAATTAAAATGAACATTTGTTAGATGAAAGTGTGTTATTTAGTTAGCACTTGCGAAAAAATGAAATTCTTAACCTTGAGATATCTGGCCTTCCAATATGGTTGAGCAGAGAAAAAATGGGTTGAGTGTGGAACACAAGCAAGATAGGCTAAAGGGGATTATTTGAAAAAGTTCCTGTCTAGACTCTAGATTTCCTTGTCTTATCTAATGGATAATTGAGAATACTAAATAGCATTAGGTAAAGGCAAATATTTGTTTTCTTTCTTTTTATATCATTTTGCTGTGATTAAGGATATATCATGTCTATTGAGATTCATCTAAAACACTTATTTTATTGTGTATATCTAATTTGTTGCTGTTCACTAGTGCTGGGGAAAATAGGTTGTCAATTTTGTCTTCTATTAATCATGTTTACTAACAGTCATGGTCTTTATTTGGAGATTAGTGAATGATATTGAGAGGTTTTGATCAGTAAACAATTCAATCACTTTCATAAACTCTTTCTTTTGCTCTGCCTTGTGTATGAGTTAATTATAAACATAAGATGTTTTGTTTGGCATGTCTGATGTCCATTCTAGTGATTGGCCATCTCAACCTCTCTGTTTCCCATTTGGGGAATTGTTTGGCAACTGAACCACATGTTACCGGGGGTTGATGTCTATCTAGAACGAATTCCATTTCCAATTTTTTATCTTCTAATTTGTGTTAGTTTTCCAGGAAGAGTAAGTTTCTACTTTCAGCAACTTTCTTCCTTTTATTTTCTGCTCGCCTTGTTTCACCTCTCAATTTGTTCTCCCTCTTTTTTTTTTTTTTTTTTTTTTTTTTTTTTTTTTTTTTTTTTTTTTTTTTTTTTTTTTTTTTTTTTTTTTTTTTTTTTTTTTTTTTTTTTTTTTTCTTTCATGACACTTTACTTACCTGCTCTCCAGAGAATACGGAAGAGAAGAAAACAGAAATTGAGAAAGAAGCTGAAATGTCAAAGAATGCAGAATTTCGTGCAATAAAACCTAGTCCATCCATCCTTTCCTTTGTGGAAGATAATGTAATTTGTATAAGTAGGCTTTGAGATGCTTGGTCTATCAGTTTATTTATTCTGTCTTCCTATATTTTGATTATAGATAATTTTATTGTCAGTTGTTAGGCCGAAGACGGTTGATTGAGCTGAAAAGGGCGGGCTACAACGTTGAGCTATCTGCACCATTAGATAATATTCCCTTCTCTACAAGCTCTGAGAGAGAACGGATTGAAGAAAATGTAAGTTTGTGCTCCATGCATTTGAGACTGTATTTTGTTTGTCTTTTTAATCTATCTTATCCGTATAGTGATCAATGAGATGGTAAATTTTCTTTTCTTTTTCTCGAGTGTTTTTCTACCTTTGGATTAGTCAAAATCAGCTGCTGCTAATAAATTTTAACAGATTTTTAGGAATAAAATGGAATTTTTTGCTGCTGCAAAAGTGTCATCTTCATTCCCAGCTCCTGATCTTCCAGAGATTGCATTTGCAGGTACAGATTTCATGTTGTCACCTTTTCTCGTGTGCTCAAAATTATACATTTTACGTTTTCTAGACTATGTTTTATTCTCCTACCTTTTCTCTCTACAGTGTGGACTTCATTTTTTTATTTTGTGTTAAAATGCACATATTTGAATTGTCTTTTAAATGCTATATGGTCATAGCGTTTTGTTTTTGTGTGTTCATAATTTCTTAGGAAGAGGATGCACTGTAACATTATTGGAAATGGGTGATATAATGATGTTGAACCTTCTGTTCACCTGAATAAAATTTTATTTAACCAAAAATCAACCATTGCTTATGAGGGAAGCCCATAGAGGCTACTTTGTTATATGCAGAACAAAATTATATAATTGCTAAAACATCCTATTAGAAAATAAGTAAAAAAAAGACATTGAATTTCCAATTATTGAAATCCCTAAAAGAACGCAAAACTTTGTGAATTAGCTCGTCTTTCAAGTATGAGCTTTGACCAGAATTTGGAATCAGGTTTTGCAAAACATAGTTAAGTCTACTTTATCATTCTTCTTTCATCTGAATGGTTTAATCTCAAAATGAGAGTTATGAGACTTGGGAGTGACATATGTACTAGGGAATTCAGCAGGATCGATCATGGAAATCAATGAACTTTATCCTATTATAGATCGTCTTTGGACCTTAAGTATTAGGGGATCAATGATGTGTTCCTTGATAGACTCATCTTAGCTGCTTGCTTATCAGTTGTTGGCTGGTCCCTACAGTGATGAAGGACATCTTTAATGGTCTTGTATTTATGTTTATCTGAGGACAGTAAATGTAGCAAGTTATGTGGGACATGGGGTTTATAATAGTGCAGGAAAAAATAATACACGAGAAGGAAAGGTTCTGGGCTGAAACTTGAGAGGTACTTGCTGATCATTGAGGCTTTCTGGTGGTGAATTAATTTGGGTTGAATTAAAGGAAGTTTAGATATGCATCTAGATTGCTTTTCAAATTGAAGAAAAATAATAAGATTCTAGGTTTCACATGTAGATGTTCCTAGGGATCGTACCCAGGTTCCTATGTCTACACCTAGATTTTACTGACATCAAAGAGTACAAAATGGTGAATTGCTTGAAAATAAAGCATTAGTAGGATAGGTCTTATGGACTCAATTTTAACTCCAGACTTATGGGCAGTTGGACTTCTGTAAAGCTGAAGAAGTTTACTTAGCTTGCACTTGGGGTTATACTAAATTTTATTGTCATTATTAGTTTTAGGTGCCCCATCTCCACAATGAATTTTTTCCCAGGGCCACAAAAAGATTAAAAGATAAAAGATGTTGTTCCTTATTTGGAGAGAAGAATATATTTGCGAGGTTTATATTGTTTCTAGTCATTATATGAATAGAAAATTTACATAAGAATTTTATTTTTATTTTTTATTGGTAGGGATATATATTTTTCAAAGAATTTTCTATATATTGATGTAGTGTCTATAAGAACATTTGATTTTTTTGGTTCAGTGCAAATATTTTTGAGTGTGATGGCTTTAGGTTTGCTTCATATATAATATTTAATTCGAATAACCGAGCATAATTTTTTTAAAGAAACTGCAAGACATTTTACTTGATTTTGTATTGCTCTTTTAGGAAGGTCAAATGTTGGAAAATCATCGCTACTTAATGCACTTACTAGACAATGGGGTGTTGCACGGACATCAGACAAGCCTGGCCTTACTCAGGTGCTAACATCTTCTTGGGAACTATTAGTCTTACTCTTGCTTCCTCTGTGTATTTAATTTGTAAACTTTATCTTCTGCAGACTATTAATTTTTTCAAGCTGGGTTCAAAGCTCTGTTTGGTCGATTTGCCTGGATATGGGTTTGCTTATGCCAAAGAAGAGGTTAAAGATGCTTGGGAGGAGCTTGTAAGTATGCACATGGAAATTCAATGTTTTCTTTTCTTTTGGTCATTTTTCATTAGTGTTTTGGAGTATGAAGTCATACATTTGAAATGGTGATGCGTGAGACTATTGATTTCCATCATTTTCTGGTTTCTGCCACTTGGTGTGGTTTTTGATGCTAAAAAGAGAAGAGCTTAGGTTTATGCTTTTCAGTGATGCAAATGATTATGCAGGCAGCTAATATTTTGGTTATCTAGTTAAGTCTTTTTAGTATTTGTATTGTGTTTGCTTTGGCTTAAGTTTTGAAAATGGGATTTACCAATTGTTGGAAGTTTAAACCATCTATATTTTTGTGGCACTTCAACATTTCTCGAAACTTTTTGTTTGATTAGAACATGTATAATTTTCAAGCTGCGAACAAAGGGCCAATTTTGTTTTTAGAGACTTTGGAGTGTTCAATTCTTGTAGCAGTCTTTTGCTAATAGTGCAGGAAGAGTTTTTTGTTTTGTATTTTGTCAATGATAGTGGTAATTTATGCTTAAAAGTTAAGGTATAGTAAGTATCATTTCACATTGGTAATTTGAAATTACCATAGCGAGGGATGTTGGACAGCTTGCAGGACTCATACTAGGATTGACTTTCATGCCAGGAAACAATCTTATGTTAAAACATAATTAGCAGTGAGTTTATGGTTGAATTTGAGTTGAAAAGACTGAATTTTGGTGGCGGAATTGTATGATTTTTTGCTTAATTAAAGAACTAGTTATAGTAAAGTAAAAGAAAAGAACGAGAAATCTAAGCTTCACATTTTTGAAGTGCCTTAGCATCATACTGAAGGTTCCCTTCAGCATCACATTTAATTTGAATTGCTTGATGCAATCCAAAGAAGCATAACTTCGGAAATTTATTCAACGAAAAACTGTGTGATAAAGCATTCCACGTGTGATTATTTATGGGCTCATCCGAAATTGGTGTAAACCATAAACCATTGGACCCTTCTAACTAGTTCTGATTGTCAAAGTATTTGGATTCATTAAGAACCCAAAATAAGAGACATGACAAATGCTACAGAGATTGGCCAAACTTTTCCTACCAGGTTGTTTATTATAAAATAGCCTTGACTTTAAAGTTGAAAATGATGGAGCAATGTTGGAATAAACAATAAATATTAGCACTTTATAGGAACTAAAAGGTAAGTTAATAAGCCTTATATGACATCTAGAAGTTTCTTAATTAGAGTCCAACTGAGTTGGTGATATCACAGATAGAGAAGATGGATGTTTTAATCTTCCACTCTTATATATGTGTTGTTAGATATACAGATTCTGGAAATTTCTTCTCTTACAAATCTTTAGATGCATTTGTTGTTGCGTTTTTAGAGTCTCTGTTGTATGAATAACAGAATAAGTTTATTAGTCTAAATTTCTTGCTACATCACTTCAGTTGCGTATATCATCAAAATGTCTTTGTGCTTCTTGTTACTGTACATTTATTAATATGCATAGGTGAATTCAGATGTTACAGTATTATGCGCCAGCTAAGTTTGCCCAAATTTGTAGGTAAAGGAATATGTATCTACAAGGGTTGGTCTAAAACGAGTATGTCTTCTTGTTGACACAAAATGGGGAATGAAGCCAAGAGACCATGAACTCATTGATTTGATGGAAAGGTCTGAATTTGCATTCTTATACTGATGACTATTCTTACAGAGTTTTATCTATATTATATTGCATGCTGCAAAGATTAATATGCCATATGGCCATTACATATATTGTGAAAAATACCTGCCAGTCCACTGCAGGAGTGTATTTATGCAGTGTCTGAGTCAACAGAAACCACTCAGAAACTCAAGATTTGAACATGATTGAGCTTTTACTTTTTCCAACTTGAAATAAATTTCATGTGCTATGCAAGATAGTCGAGCATCACTTGACTCGATTATCATCAAAAAATTGCACCAGCAAGATCTCCAATGTTATGTAACCAAATTAAAATTGATGCATCTATCTTGTTGCCGCAACTATAAAGCATGTGGATTACAAGAATTTTCTGCCATTGATTGTGTAATACTTTTGGCCAAATGCAAAATTCACCTCTGTACTCTTCGCGAAAAACCTTGTCGCATCCCAAATTTTGCGGGGACCTTTTATTCCCCTTAAAATTACAAATTTTGGTAACGTTATATATCTCTCTATAATACTCTTTAGTGCTTTTGACTTTATATGCAAAATATTAATTTGTGTGTGTAGTTAATACTACTTTTGAAATGATAATTTTCACATTTTTCAACTATCCTATAGGTGTTTCATGATTTAATTTTATAAGTTGAAGCATTCAATATAATGGACCAAGTGCATGGATTCACCCCTGAACTTTGTTAGTTCAACTAAGTGGCACCCTTAACTTTGAGGAAGACCTATTATGTGTCTAAAATTATGAATTTTAGTAACATTATGCCCCTTTTTAAAATAATAGTTTTAGAGTTTTTAGCTTTTATATGCAAAATGCTCATTTGACGTGTGGTTAACATAACTTATGTAATAATACTTTTCACATTTTTTAATATCTAATTGGTGTTTAATAGATCTAATTTTGCAAATTGAAGTACTTTTGAGGTATAATTATAAGTTGCAGTATCCGATGAGTTAAAGTAAAATATGAAGGTGCCCTGAAGTAACCAGATTTAGGGGTGAATTTATGTATTCGGCATAACATAATAATTTATTAAGTTGAAGGGTTTAATAGGTGTGTTTTTATAAGTTTAAGTTTATAATAGGTCAAATAAAAGTTAAGAATGCTAAAAGATTTTTTGAGATTTATTATTATTATTATTATTATTATTATTTAATTTTTTTATTTTTTTTTTTTTTTGAGATTTATTATTATTATTATTATTATATTATATTAATTTTTTATTTTTTTTTTTTGGGGGGGGGGGGGTCAAATTATGATTGGGGGGGGGTCAAATTATGCATTTGGCCCAATAATTCCCTATTCTTTATTTATTGATGTTTGACACCATTATGTCTGCCTGCATAACTCATGTTTAAGCGTTAGTTACCTTACCATCATTTGTATCAGTGAGAGATGAAAAAACACGCTTGAATACATCAAGTTGGTGAGACTTGAAAGTACAATTAGACTCTACTTGTCATTCTAATTCTACTTTAGTGGTATACTTTTGCCACATGCACTGCAGATAATTATGGCGCTCGCTTAACATTATAATTTTTTATTTAGTTATTGCAATCTTATTAATTTTACAGATACCAGACTAGATACCAGATTGTGTTGACCAAGACAGATGTGGTATTTCCAATTGATGTGGCACGCCGTGCTATGCAAATTGAAGAGGTGAATTTTGTGCATAAGTAGAAGACATTCTGTCTAGAATTTGTCATAATTTTTTCGATATTAACATATTTTCTATTGCCATTTAATTTTGCAGAGACTTAAGGCTAACAAATCTATAGTTCAGCCTGTGGTACGAAACATCAAATTACTTGATCGAGTAATTTGGCTCATTTTATTTATTTTTGAATATACTGCAATTTAATTACTTTGGTTTTACTACAGATGATGGTAAGCTCAAAATCTGGAGCTGGTATTCAGAGTTTAAGAACAGTGCTTACCAAGATTGCTCGATTTGCCAAACTCTAATTCATCGTCAGGTATGTAATGCAAGCCGCCAGTCAAGTAATTTTTATAATGTTGATTCTTGTAATGGGTCTTGCTGATCAATACAATTGGCAAAATTTTCTCTAGCAAAGCCCATCATTTTTTGAATGTATTTACAAGGGCTCTTACACACTGGATTATCATTGTTCATCATTAAGTTATCCAATTATCATTTTAATATGGGAGTGGTCGGATTAGTCGACTGTGTGCAAGTTTGTAAATTTCTGTTTTCCCCTTCTCTTTTTACTCGTTTATTATTTGAGTAGTTGAATTATTCATTCAATACGAGCAGGACTGAGCGTTCTGCTGATGCAAATTTCATGGCAGTATGAAGGTGCATGCTGCAAAGTGCATACTTATTTGTTTGTCTGCCGGGTGGTAATTGCCTGATTGCCTGCCCATTTAAGCAAGCAAGATGACACTTGGTGGAGTTGAAGACTTTTCATATTTGGCGTAATAGTTGATCGTGATTGCACATTATTTTTTTGCTTCGGATATTCAGATACTCGATGCGATGCAAGTAGGTTTTCCATTGTGGCAGAAATCATCAATTTTGGGATTACAGCAAGGATGTTTGTGCCTTGGCTGATTTAGTTAGATGATGTAGGGTTTGTTTTTCATTATGCAGTTCAAAGTTGATAGACCATAATTAGATAGTCTAATTTATTTGTTATATATTGAAATGCATTACTACTAGGCTACATTTGGCAAGTGGTAATGCCCAAATAAATTATAGTAAAAACTTACATTACAAATTCATCTGGTTATGTTATATTATATTTCATTACAGTTCACTCAAATGTAGCCTAAGATTGCAGAAGCAAGTCCTGCTTTTAGACATAGCCAAGTGGCTATCGCATGAATAGAAATGGTGAGCTAGTTTTTTCATTACCATATTATAAGTGGTATAAATGAGAGCAGTTACATGTCTGGTCTTTTTATCAATATAATTTTTATTTTGAGGAGAATTTTTTATGGAAGGCTATTCAGTCAAGTAAAAGTAGTTCTAATAAAATATATTGTTATATTTACAGATTGAGCAAATGCAATTAACTTTTGGATTATTCTTATATATTTGACAGATTTTGGGTAAAATATAATTAAATATTGGGTAAGATTACAGGAAGGGGCTTTGAACTCGGATTATTTTTATTTTGTTTGTTCGTTATTCCTGTTTTGGATGTTCGAAAATGTTTGCAAGGTTTCTAAATTTAGACATGTAAACAATTTTTTTTTTATGATGAGAGACTTTTATTAATATCTTCAATGAATTAAGAGTAAAAAAAGATAAAATAATTTTTATTGATTAAATTTTTAATATGTCGTATTTTGTCAAATTATATAAACAAATGATAAATTAATAGGAATCTAGCAATAATATTTTGTAAAACATAGATTGTTGAACCGTTCAAAAAAAATTTAATTTTTCTTGGTTTAATTTAATTTATAAATAATCACTTCATTATCACAATATTAATAAGGGATTGGGTAGGTAAAACACCACCATCCCAAGCAGCCCCGTTGGGGCCCACCCACAACAGGGGCGGCCTCCTCTTTTTCATTTTCAATACCAGAATTTTGACAAACAAAATAAAAACATCAAGTAGACGTAATCAAATAATATAATTTTTCTTAATAATATTCGTAATCATGCTACCGTAAAAAGGCTTATCTCAAATCCCATTCTCATCGCCACCGTCGGAAAAATGTGCCCTTTGAGGGTCATTCTGATATTTCTTTCCGCCACTCTCGCCGGATTTTTCGTTGTTCGAAATCTCAAATCCCGACCTCTCACCGACGACGGCGGCGGCGATAATTCTCAATCCTCCTCCTCCTCCTCCTCCGGTTCTTCCATTAACAATGCTTCATTGAACTCCAAGGTCTCTTGCTTCTCTAGGGTTTCGCATTTTGATCTGGTCTTCTATATCTTGCGTTGAAGTCTTACTACTATGCAATTTTTCTAATGTGCAGGTTCGATCGGCTATAGAATCTGGATTTTGGACCTTTGTAGACATGGCGAGTGGACGATATCTGTGGAAGCATTTGGTCCCATCGTCGTCTTCTCCTTCTTCTCATAAGGTTAAGCGTTCCAGTTGATGGTTTTATAATGTTTTCTGGTTTGCTTCTGCCCCAATTGATGGCAGTAACCAGGCTGAAACTTTTATGATTTGCAGTTACGATTTGTAATATTGTAATTGAATTCAAATGATTCCCACTTGTTGTTGTTGTTGTTGTTGTTGTTGTTGTTGTTCTTGGTTATGGTGATAGGATGGTGGAGTTTGTAATTAACATTTTATTGAAAAAGAACCTCAATTTGCTTGAAAAAAGTTAGCTTCTTCCACTTAATCTATTACTTAGAATTACCTTATGGTTTAGCTAATGATGACAACTATAATTTAAGTGAAAGCTAGAGAATGTACTTAATCTGTTTCTGAAAGTTATGACCAACCAAACAAAAAATAGATGTTGGATTTGAAAGGTGTATAACGAGTATTGGCTTGGGTTAGATGATGAAGTTCCATTGTTAATGCCTTCATTAGACAGCTACTACATATTCTAAACATTTTTCAGGTTAGATTTTTTAATGTATTTGATGTGTCATTTGCTAGTTAATTCTATATGCTACTTTACTTTTTCCAAGTTATATGCAGGATTTATGCGATGCTAATCCAAATTGATAATGTAGATATAGCATTGGTTTCAGATGAATCATTTCAAGTGGTGATGTAGTAGCTTCTGTCTGTGCTTGTACATACACCTGAACTGTGTAGCACTTTTATAACTAAACAATTTTTGTTGTTTTAGGGGACACAAAAGGTAATGAAGTATGCTAATCGGTATTTTTCTCTTTGTAATTTCCACTTCTTCACACTGAGGTTACCCATTTCCTCCCTTTACTTGGATCAAAAGGTGATGTTTCATCACAATGCCAAATGAAATCTGCAGAAGTGATTGTATACTGATTATACACTCAAGGAACCAGGCTTATGCCTCAGTAGCTCATGCCTCTGCCTTTTTCTTGCTTCTTCTTCATCTTGATATTTTGATTCCTAGTATGTTAGCGCCTAGGGGATGAGGATCTATGATTTCAACTCTAGACTATCGGTACCATCAACAAACCAACATCATTTCCCTTTTATGGTTTTCAATGGTAGGAGATTATAATACATCTGGATCATTACAAGTTACAAATTATTCAACATATCTAGATAGCAGCTGTAGTACCTTGTTGTGTTGAATATAATTGGGGGTTGCCTATTGATGAACATATCATTATTGTTTGTTAAGTGGCATTCTTTAGTCTCCACTTTGAAGTCGACATGGTGTACATACAGGATAGATGGTAGTGTTGAGTCATTTTTCATCCAATATATCAATTTCATCAAAACTAGTTGCTATTATTGGTAAGAAAAACTTGTTTAAATGAGTGTGTAGGAGTCAAATACATTTGCTAGAAACTTTGTTAAAGCAAAAAAGCTTTCTATTTGTTGTGTTCTATAGATTAAGAAAACTAGTGCTATGTTAAGTTATATCGATAATAGGATGTAATATGAATTTAATCGAATGAAATTTTAGTTCATTGTCTCTATTAAATTTTAGACGAGTTATTGTATTCGTGCTCCTATGATCTGCTTTCCACGGTGGTGGTGATGATTTTCTGTTGCATGAGAAATAAGGTAACGTTTCCCATTACTTGTTATCCAATTGGTATTGATATTCTTGAGATAGCCACAAGTTCCTTTGTCTACATTTACCTTAGGAAGAGAATGACCATTTTCTATTTTCTCTTCATAGTTAACCATCGCCAATTCAATAACGACTTACAATTGCCATCAAATAAGTTTCTCAAAATTTTTTTCTGGTTTATATTTATTTTTTGCTTTCGTTGATTGTTGCATAATTTGATTAGAATGAATATTGGAAAAAGATGATTTATAATAGCTAATTTCAACTAGTTTGAGATAAAAACTTAATTATCAGCTAAGCACTGAGCATGAAACTATAACCACTTTGTTCCTTTTTTTTTTTTTTTTTTTTTTTTTTGTTCCTTTTTTTTTTTTTTTTTTTTCTCTTTGTTCATAAAATGTATTCAGAGTATAGTATCCTTTTTTTTTTTTTTTTTTTTCTCTTTGTTATAAATGTATTCAGAGTATAGTATTTATTTATAAAAAAACAAATATGAATATTTTCATTTATACTAAATATGAAAAAATGGAATCCAAATCACAAAATTTGATAAAATTAATTTATAAAAAACAAGGGTTTAAAAATCTGTTCATCCATGGAATACACAAAATCATCATTGCTTAATTTGAAATAATTTTTTACTCTATTAATATTTTTTTTCAATATTTAATTTGCAATTTAATTCATAAATTTAATTTTTTTTAATTCATTAAAGGTATGATAGATTAAAATAACACTTCAGGCTATATAATAATGGTAGCCCTCCTTTGGCTCGAGACTTTTCACTCCTGCGTCTAGATAAGAAAATCAACCATACCATCATCACCCGATTGGTATAAATTTAATTATTTAGTATGTCAAAAGATTGATCAAAATATTTATAGAATTTAGTATTTGATTGAAAAAAAAGCATTTTAAACAAAGGAAAAAAAAAAAAAAGCTAGAAATTATTGATCAAAATAATTTAAAAAAAATTTCAAAAGTAGATTCCAATAAAAGCCACAATGCAACGGTCGAATTACATTCCACTCCATTCCTGTGCCCAGACGCAGAGAGATAGTGTGTGTGTGTGTGTTTGTCATAGTCATACCCAAGACAATGAGGAAGAGAACGACAAAGCAAAGACCGAAAAAGCCCGAAACGATGTGGCAAAGGACGGCAAAGCGAAGACCGGAAAAGCTCAATCCCCCTCGAGAAGAAGAGGGAGATGGAAATGAACAAGAAGACAAGAGCAAAGAAGGAAAAGGGTTTTACGCTTGCTATCTCTTGACTTCTCTTTGCCCTCGCTTCAAAGGCCACACCTATATCGGGTTCGTTCTATGTTCTTCTTAATTTTAAATCTGTTCCTTTTTTTTTCTTTGCTTGTAATTTTTTTTAAATCTTGTTCTTAATTTCTAGCTGATCAATTTCTCAAAATTCCCTATCTTGAGGATATAAGAAAAAATCCCCAATTGCGCAGGTCTCATTTTTTAAGAGTTTGATTTGTAACAACTGTTTTTTTTTTTTTTCTTTTTTATGCTCTGTTTCTTAATATTTTCACTTTTGATCTTTACCCATGGCAGCTAACGTCTTCGATTATATTAACTTCATAGATTTATGCCTTTTCTGGTTTTGTGGGTTGGATTTTTCAGATTTACAGTGAATCCACGGCGCCGAATCAGGCAACACAACGGTGAAATCACAAGTGGAGCTTTTAGAACCAAGAAAAGGCGGCCATGGGAAATGGTCTTCTGCATTTATGGTTTTCCAACTAATGTATCTGCTCTTCAGGTCATTTTTCTTCTACTTTTAATAATTTATTCACTTTTGCTATAAGATTAAACTGTAATAATCTGAATCTTGGCAGTTAATATACTTATATTATCACTGAAATTAATATTCTTTTTCCAGTATGCAATCTTTATTGATAGTTTAGAATCTTAAGTCAGTGGCTGAAAGCAGATTAAGACCATTGGGTTATTTGCTTGCTGCTGTGTTATATATTTGCTGAATTCTCAAGATTCCATGTCATTTCTTGTGTTCTCTGAGCTTTTTCTATTGTTCATCATCTTTTTTTATCATTTTAGTCAGCACTACCTGATCAGAGGCTCTTATTCTATGGAGTAGAATAGCTTTTCTTTAGGCCGAGTGACAGACAATGGCCAGCCAAGAAAGTCTTTAGAGTGACATGCAAAAATGTAGTTCAAGAACTTAGTTCCTTTCTTGAAGTAAATTATATACTTGTGCTATGCAGAAACCGTGATCAAGATTCTTTCATTTTGATTTTAGAAACTATTAAATAAGAAATTATTTTACTTGCTTGGTATAAATGAATCCAAAGTATAGAAAATGTGGTTATTTCGAAGTGTCTAAAAATTGAATTCATGGATTGAAATGGATATTTTGATTTATACCAAACATGAAAACAGAAAATTCCAAATGAATTCAAAAAATTTTGCGGAAGTCATTTATACCAAATAAGACCTTCGTTAGGCATCTTTTAAAAAGTTGTTCCCTACTTAATTCTAATTTCTTGGGGTAGGTTTAATGCTGTTTAGAGTTCCAGTATTTTCATTAAATAGGTAAATATCATGTGTCCTTGTGTTAACATATAAAATTAGTGATCTGAAAATGCAGTTTGAATGGGCATGGCAACATCCAACAGAATCAGTGGCAGTGAGGCAAGCAGCAGCAACTTTTAAATCATTCTCCGGAGTAGCTAATAAGATTAAACTTGCGTACACAATGCTTAACCTTCCAGCTTGGCAGGGGTATGACTTCTTCTCCATGGAAGTAAATATGTGCTGTCTTGTTTCCGTGATGTTCCTATTTACCAAATATTGATTTTTTTCTTTAAAACATATCCAGCTTGAATATCACTGTCAATTATTTCTCAACAAAATACTCAAGCCATTCTGCTTCTAGCCCAAGCTTGCTGGAACACATGAGGATCCGTGTTTGCCCCATTGATGAACTTCCCTGCTATACTGAAACAAATGAGAGTTTGTTTGAAGGTGAAGATGCTGAAGATAGATTTGATGACACAGAAGAATATGAGAATACTACCAATATAAGTGAAACCTTGAACATGAACGTCATGGATCTTCAAGCTTACTCAACAGAGGAGTTCCCATGCTATAATAGAGATGAAGAGACTTCATTTGAAGGTGAAGGCAGCAAAGTTAGCAAAGAGAATGAAAAAGACAGCTCAACAAAATATGCAAACCATTCTGCTTCTAGTCCAAGCTTTCGAGAACAGGTGAAGATCCGTGTTTGCCCCATTAATGAACTTCCCTGCTATACTGAAACAAACGAGAGTTTGTTTGAAGGGGAAGATGCTGTAAAAAGATTTGATGACAAAGAAGAATATGAGAATACTACCAATAGAAGTGAAACCATGAACATGAATGTGATAGATCTTCAAGCTTACTCCGCAAATGACTTCCCGTACTATAATCGAGTGGAGGAGATTCTGTTTGAAGGAGAAGGAAGCAAAGTTCGCAAAGAGGATGAAGAAGACTGCGATAGTGGTAACACTAGTAGGACAGCAAAAGAAACACATGCAGATACAATTATTCAAATTTCTTCAAATAATGCAACTTCTCATGAAGAAACCAGACAGTTTGAAGAATATAGTAATATGCAGCAAAGTTTGAGGAGTATTTCTTCATTCTTTCTTCCTACCCTGGAAGAAGATCATATGCAGCCATCTGTTTCTATCAATTCAGTAGTGGGAACAGCACTTACTGGATTTTCCATGGAAGAGATGTTGGTGAACAACACTGTTCCTGAATTGGATTGGCTGAATGGGAAAGAATATACAGGTAAATCTGATAAAGATCTGCAACCAATACACAGTTATACTGTTCCGGATGAAATCGAGGTTATAGATTTGTTGTCCCCATCTCCAGAATGCAGAATCAGGGCAAGCAGAAAGAAAAGAAGAGTTTCTATTGTTTGTCCTGAGATCATTGACTTGACATAATTAACAGTCTGTCTTTGTTTATCCAATTACTGAGCATTGGACAGGATAAACGAGTAACAAATGAGATCATTTACTCAATGCAATCTCCTTAGTTCGTCCAATTATTGAGTGTTGTATATGTAGGAAACTGATAATGGGAATAATAGAAATGAAGTATTTAAATTTGTTCAATTTGCATTTTTGTTTGTTTGATTTCAACATTTGATTTCAACTTTACTCAGATTCCTAATAGAAAAAAAGAAAAGAAAAGAAAAGAGATCCAAATAAAGATGGAATTTTTGTAATTTGTGTAGATTCTATGCATACTTATGCAACTAGAGAAAGAGTAGTGGAAGAAGTGGAAATACTGAAAAATATCAACCTTGGACCACAATATAACAACAAATAATTACAAGTCTATATTTGAAATTATTGTCTTCAATTATTATTTGTAAGTTACTAGACAAGGAATTTATGCCATGAATTTTCATTTAGCCATACAAAAAAATTGTTCATGAGAAAAAAAATTAAAGACTCTTAATAAAAAGAAATAAAAATTTAGAGGCTCAAATAAATAGAACGTATTATTTTTGAGACTGCAAAATGAGATTTTTTTTTTCCAAAATATTATTGGCCACAAATTATGGTAGGCAAATCCCATCCAATCACATGATTAGTGCATTGCCACATCTTAATCAAGTATCACTCTCTTGCTCCAAAAGATAAACTTCTTTACACAGCCTGGTAGGTAAGAGCCATGTGAATCCCATTGATACATAGGATTTTGAACCAGACATCCAAAGAATATCCTAAACCAAAAAACCAAATTCACTGGACAAATAACTAACAAGAACAAGTGTCATGTTTAGACAAAAAAAGATGAATTTCTTTATCTGAAATAATTTACATCTGGACAAGAGAGCTTCACATTTTAGCACGTCATTGTTATGCTAGAAGCTTACCAAGATTGTCCCTGAAACACAAAACTAGTATAAGACAATTGTAGTGTCAGTTTCTTGACAACAACAGCTTGCCCTACATTAGATTTTTCTCAAATTGACAACTTTGAGTACACATTTCTTGAAGTTGTGATTTTTCTAAAATATAAAAGGTTCTTTTGAACCAAAAAATGGATTACAAATACTTAACTTGCTAAATCTCTGAAGCAAATCAATTCAGCTTAGCAAAAGAACCAAGGTAGAAAATTTTGAACACGAGGACAATACATACAGCAGTAACAAATATCTGGGAAATAATCTCCGGAAAAATCAAATAACAGGGTTTCTTTTTTTTAACTTTTCAAAGCATACAAAAGAGAAACTGAAAGACAATGGACATAACACATGGAAGAAGTAATTAGGAAAAAGAATCAAATTAAAAGTTCCAGAAACCAAAGATAACAGCTTTTTTACAGTAAGTTTGTGGTCACATGTAAAAAGTGAGCAAATTCATCGAGGTGGGATCTGACAATCACAAAGATGATTGCTAGAATTTGAAAAAAAAAAAAAAAAAAAAAAACAAACATATGACATCGCGAAAAAATTGGCATCGTGAGAACATTTTAAGCATAACTGTCAGCTGCTAACGTATTATGGTTATTGCTGCAGCTGCTGCTGGTGTATTTCTTGTTCTTGTCCCTGGTGCTGATGCTGTTGTTCACCTTGCCAAATCCAAACAATATCATCAAGGGCAGGCTTTATATCCTCTTTCAATATCTTATGATATTCCAATGTATCACCACCAGATTGCTTCACCTCCACCAAATGAAAATTTGGAGTGACTTCAAAGATCTCTGCATCAATGGACAAAGGCCCCTTTCTACCTTCTTTTAGTCCTACCATTTTCAACAAACCTGCATCCTTCTTTGTGATCTTCAGGCTTAAATGCTTTGCAACATCTTCCAGTTTAGAGATGATGACAGAGGCAGGTTGAACAGAAGTAAATCTTGCCTCTTTTAGTCTAGATTTTTCCTCGAATAATCCAGAAAGATCAAATCCAGCAGAAAGAGAAATGATATCAAAAGCATTTAAGATAGGTGGTTTGACCGATTCCTCCTGCTTTGCCTCAGAAGAAACATTGCTAGTCCGGGAAGGACCAGAACCACTCCTCTCCAAATGATTTACATCCCTGCTTTCTGCTTCTGTTTTCTTCTGTTTAGAGTTCAATCCTTTTTTAAACCAAGCACTTTCCTTTATCTTAGCCATGGAAATCCTACTATCAGGGTTTGGATCCAGCATCTTAAACAGCAGTCTGCGAGCTTCTGGTGGAAACCAATTAGGGCATTTGAACTCAGCTTTGCCAATCTTCCTGTACATCTCCATCAAGTTAGAATCATGAAATGGAAGATAACCTGCCAAAAGCACATATAAAACCACCCCACAAGACCATATATCAGCTTTCTCTCCATCATAACCTTTTCTGCCAATCACTTCAGGAGCAACATATGCAGGTGTACCACAAGTTGTATGGAGCAACCCGTCTTGATGTTTGGATTCAGCAAGAGCACTCAATCCAAAATCAGTAACCTTTAGATTTTCATACTCATCCAACAATAGGTTTTCTGGTTTTATATCCCGATGATAAACACCCCTGCTGTGGCAGAAATCCACTGCATTGATCAACTGTTGAAAATACTTGCGTGCGGCATCCTCCTTTAATTTTCCTTTAGCAACCTTGCTAAAGAGTTCTCCACCTTTGCAATATTCCATTGCAAAGAAAATCTTAGTTTTGGTGGCCAGGACCTCATAAAGCTGCACAATATTAGGATGTCTAACAATTCTCATCACAGATATTTCTCTCTTGATCTGATCAACAAGCCCTACCTTCAAAACCTTCTCTTTGTCAATCACCTTAATGGCCACACTTTGGTTCGTTCTGATACTCCTTGCATGATAAACCTTTGCAAACGTGCCTTGGCCAAGCAATCTCCCTACCTCATATTTTTGTGTCAAGACACTCGGTTTATGTTCCATACCAAGCCAGAAATGCTAATTAACTAATATCTACCACACTCTCCCACCAAATACACTATATGTAACTTAAAAAGCAAATGAGCTACACACAACAGAAAGTAGCTCAGCCGTCTTCACATAAATCATGCATTAGCACAACAGGAAATTCATAATAAGTTGTAGGCTCATAGTGTTTTTCTGCAGAAAATTTGAATGATAAAGTAGAATTTATAAATCCAGTTTCATCAAGAACAACGAGATGCAGGTGTAACAAAGCTACAAACGGATGGGCTATAGAGACAGACTTCTGAACATCCACGCACATCATGCAGCATTCCCTTGGTTCCTTCTTTCAAAGTAGAACTCAGGATTCCTGGAAGAGAAGAGCAGACAGATATACCTTAAGGACCTCCACCAGAATACTCGTAATTAAATATTTGCAACTGGGTTTCCTGGTTAGTAAATGGAAGAAGAAACAAAGGGAAGCGAATAAATTAAATTGACTAGGAATTTATATTTCTTATTATTTTTTATTAACAATTTTTTCTACCCCTTCAGATAAAACCCACCACTGCTTGGATCAAGCATACCCCTTCAAATCACAAAAAAAAAAAAAAAAAAAAAAAAACCAGCAGACTCGCTTTGGATCAAGCAACCCGCACTTCAAATCGCCACAAAAAAAAAAAAAAAAAAAAAAAAAAAAAAAAGACACCCTCCCGTAGCTAAGAACTAAAATACAGAGAAAGAAAAAAAATCCCTGTATTTGGAACTGTGATGCTAAGAACTTATCGTCATGATTTGATTTGAAGTCTAAAAAGATCTTAACTTTGAGGTATTTCAATTAACTTTTTCAGAAATTCATTAAGTATTCATGTATCTGGCATATCAAAATTAAAAGGCCAAGAGACAAATCCTATTGAAAAGCGAAAATTGAAGATTTTGCATACGAAATCATGAAAGAAGATGAAAACTAGAAAGACCCAACACAAATTGTAATCCCAATTAACCAAAAAGTAAAAGAATAACTAGCCTCGATTCAGCTTATATTTCTTTACCAAAAAAAAAAAAATCAAACTTTAAGAAAGATTATTACCTTCTGTTGATCCAAGTTCGGTTCTGTATATACCCAAGAATCCAAGATAGAGGTTACAAAATGAAGAAGACGAGAAGCCACACCACAGCTGAGAATTATTTTTGGATTTTTGTTTGTTAAAAGAAACGGGAATGGAAAGGGAAGTTTCTTTATGAATGGCTATTTTAATACTATTATTAAGGTTGTGTAATACCTTAATAACCTTAATATTCGAATATTATTTATTTTTTTTAAATTTTAGGTACAACAAAATGTCACCGCGTGGCAAACACTTTCATGTGGAAAAGCTCATTGTAAGAATCATGCGCTCTGATTTTCTTTCCGCCAGATGGCTGTATATGTGCATTACGCTTGCCATAGTAAGTTACCTACATTTTATTCTTTATTAAAAAAATAGATTTTGAGCCAATAATTTTAAGAATATTAATTATTTTGTAAAGAATTTTTTTAGAATGTAAGATAATCGTATTTTTTTTTATTTTATCAAATAAAAAAATAGCAAAGCACAGTATAGAAATAAATGCATATATAATTTGACAATAAATCCAGATTCAAATCTTTTTTTCAATTTTATTACATAATTATATATGTCCATAAATAAATTATTGATTTCTTGCACATTTCAGTAGTCCTGAATTTAATAATCACAAACAATAAAAATATATTAATTTTGAATTTTCAAAAAAAATAAAGATATATTAATTGGAAAAATAAATTGCTATCATAAAATAATTTATAAGAATGAAATATGACTAGTCACTTTATTACAAAATAATATCATGTTTTGTATTAAATATATATGAGGAGTAAATTGTGAATCAAACCCATAGTAGAAGAAATTTGAGTTGCTTGGAAAAGCTCACACATTTTTCTTCAAAATGGAGTCAAATTGACTCAATTTAAAAATTCAAGTGTGGAATTGAAAAAACAATATGTATTTGGAACCCAATTGGAGTTTTTAAAAATCATGGGGGCTATATTCAAAAAAGAAAATCATAGGGGCTAAATTGGCGTTTACTTAAAGATTGTGACTTCTTGCTGAAGAGTTAGGTAATGTATTGGAGCGAGTATGACAGTCAGTCCATATAATATTTTAATAAAATAATTTTAAAAAATAAATTGTTTAATATATGTACTTTTATAAATCGAAATGTTTTAAAAGTCAAAATAAATGTTGAGAGTGTCACGAGATTAAATTAAGAAAATTCAGGAGTGAATTTATGTATTCAGCTCAATATTGATAACCCTAATTCTATTGTATGCATAAGTAATGATGTCCATATAAAAATGGTAGAATACATAAATTAAAGTGTACGATAGGACATCCGCAAAATTTAAAGCGGGACCAATAGAATTATTTTATCTTCTGCGTGTTGATGAATTATATAGGTGGGCAACAATGAGATTACCAAAACAAAGCATGCTTAAATTTGATAATGACAATTTGCTCTTTAAATTGCTTGGAAAAAATAAATTATTTTTAAATAATATTTAAATTTAATTGGTTAATTTTAATTTTTTTATTTAAATCTAAATAAACTATTGGCTAAAAAATAATAAAGAAAATATTTATTTTGATTGAATATATTACTTCCTCTTTTAGCAAAAATTTTGTTATAAAAAATAACTATAAATTAAAATAATTTTAATTTTTTTATATTTATATGATGGAGAACGTTGATGTAGGCAAAAATATCCCTACCAAAATTTATGAATTGAAACAAAAATATCTTTAATAAAATATTTTATACATATATATATATATGTAGTTATATTAACATTAGCATAAAGGTTTGGATAAATGGAAAAAAAATTATATTAAATTTTGAAAAACATAAACAACATAATAATTTAAATGATGGATATTTATATTATACATATTATAAATCTTACTAACCATAATATGAAACTAAATTATGTTTCATCAATATTAAATTAAATATATATCATCAATCATAATTTGGATGTCTCATCCAATCTCACTTAAGAATTAAAATTCCACCATGAAAATTTTTTTTTCTTATCATACTGCTATATATATATTTAATTTCGCTGGAAAAAAAAAATTAGGATTAGAATTCTATTTTGAAAGTTTTATCTTATCTATAACTATATACACAGTTTCTATGGAGAAAAAAATACCGGAAAGTTTATTTATTTTATTAAATAAATTTTATTTTCTTTGGTTACTAAGATTTTGTTTGAATTTTGGTATAAACAATTTTTTGTTCGCTATAAATGACACGTTGAAGACTTTTTGCCGTAGTGTTTTTATAATTAATTTTTTATTTTGCTATTTAAATGATAATTTTTAATATTTAATATTTTAATCAAACCATAGACAATAAATTTTGAAAAACATTCTTAAAAATAAGTTATTGTTTGAAAATAACCAGAGCCTTAAATTTATTAAGGCTTTGTACCTTAAGGAGAAAGAGTGTCACAATTAGATAAATATACATAACATACTGCTTATGGTAAATTTGTGAAAAATAAATTTATCCAGCTGATTCATTCATTTAAAATTGTCAAGTATTTGTTGATTTTTCCATATTTGATTGCAACGTTTATGTTATTTTTATAAAAACTTTAATACTCTTCGATTAATAAGTTAATTTTCTATATTTGATTGTGATGTTTATCTATTATTTATGTAAAAAAAAAAAATTTAGTGTTCTTTAATAAGGTTACAAATTAAAAGGTCTTCGGTTTCAAATTAAAACCGAACCGATTAAAACAGATATCAAACCAATCAAACCCAATTGACACGAATTTACAACTAGTTGATAATAAATCTTGGAATATTTTAAATTTTATTAAGATTAATTATGTAGGTTAATGTATAATAAATCTATTTTTCAGTTGTTGTTTCGAAGGCTAATTTTTCAGTTTCTATAGTTTTTTACTATCTTCATCTTGGCCCACTTGTAAGTCTCATATCACTTTGGGCTTCATGACTTCTTCATCAAGTTGAGCCCTTTAGAATATAACAACTTTCAATTTTTTTTTTTCCCTATTTTAACCTCTCAAGAAAGAAATTCAAATCTAAATTTATTATTAATTTATATATTTGCCGCTAAATTATGTTTTACATGGATAACGATTTTCAAATTTTAAGTCTAATTAGCAATTCGATTTTCATGTTGGTGAAATTTTTAACTAATGCTTTATTCATAAAATCATCTTATATTATTATTTATTTCATACTGTTTAACAAAAAAACTAATTTTAAATTAATTTATACTCCGAAACCATCAATTTAATTTATACTAACTCTGTTTCATAATACTTGACATTTAAAATTTCAAGTCTCTTAAAAATATTATTAAATTTGTCTAAGTTATAATAAATTATTGAGTAAATTGACTATATTATACTTAATTTAATGCTCCCATATCTAAACACCAAATAATTATTGGCCATATACAAGAGTAAATATAAAAAAGAAAATATATTACTCCTTGAAAGTACAAATGTGACAAGCATCGTGGAAAAGAGTAGTACTAATTAATTAATAAACTATATGAAGACTTTTTTTTTTTTAACAAAGGGATCAAAATTAATTTTATATATGTATGGAATAAAAGTTAATTTGACCCTTGAACTAGTTGAACAGAATAAAAAATATCAGATTTGATCTTTTAAGCTAATTTAACTCTTGAATTTATATAAAATGATTAAAAAGATTCCAACCACAGTTTTAATAAATATATATATAATAAATTTTAATAAATAAATTCAGCTGTTAAATTGACTTAAAAAGTGAAATCGAACATTTTATATAAATTCAAGAATTAAATTAATTTAAAAAGTTAAATTTAATTTTTTTTGATTCTGCTAAACGAGCTGATAACTGATTGGTCGTTATTATATATATATGTGGTCGGCTGAGACATGTGGTGGAGGAACTGTTAAATACATGTGGAAGTGTAACCCTAAGATCTGCCAGTTTTTTCTCCATCTTGACCTTGGAAATGGTGCATAATTCCCGTGTTTCATCAAGTCAACACTTCAACATAATGGAAATTTTTTTTTTTTTTTAAATTATGGATGCATAATGAACTTGGAACAATATTAAATTTAAAATGAAATTTTTTTTAATAAATTTAAATTTTGACACTTACTTTTAACTGACATCATTTTCCGACTTTTTAAATTGTTAAAATTATTTTTAACAATTGAGTTAAACTATTAATAAATTGTATGTCAAATATTATGGAACAGAAAAAATATAAATATTTAATTCTATTCCTCTTAATTTTTAAAATAAATTTCACCCATATTAATTAAAAAGTAGTCTAATGCAAAAACTCACCCCGTATTTCACGTAAAAAAATTTTATGGCACCATAAATTTTTTATTTTCAATCTATTAAACATTTTAACTTATAAAATATACATGTTAAGTACTTCCAACTTGTAAATCGAATACTTGAATTTGTAAATTACATCGATTAAACAGTTGAAAAATATGAAAATTATTATTTTAAAAGTTATACTAACCACACGTCAAATTTAAAAAAAAAAAAAAAAAAGCAAAGGGATGGAAAATTTTCATCATCATCTTCTTTTGGCTCAACATATCCCTCATTCATAATTCATTACTTTGCTTTTTATCACTAGTATCTTCACATGTTTATAATTAAGTACCAAAATAATAGAATTAGATCATGATTTAATTTCTCATTAATTAATTATTGTTGTAAGACTATAATAGCCTCAGTAATCAAACTCAAACAAACAATCACAGCCTCTCTTTTTTTATTAACATTGTCTTAAGTGTTGACATCATAATTAGTATTCGTTAGGAGTTAGGAATTTAATAATTAACTAACACGATTTCAACATCAAAGATGTAATTAATGTTTCACATCTTCACGAATATTAAAAATTAATTTCAATTCTAAAAACACTAATTATAATCTATTGCAGACTAACATTGCATTTGATAAATAAAATATATAAATAAATAAATACAACATGAAATTTATTTGCCTTTCTCTTTTCCCAATGGCAAATGGCAAGTTTGACTCAATAACTTGTTGCTATTCAATTTGCAATATGCAAATAAATTTTCAATAGTGTTTCACCAACGACACATTTAAATTAATGTAATTTAACAAATTAATAATATACAATCTAACGATAGATTCAGATTTAATTTTCCTCTCCTAATACTTTAAAAAAAAGTACTACTTCCGTTCCATAATACTTATCACATTTGAAAAAATAGTTTATTCCAAAATAATTGTCACATTTTGTAGTTTCAAAGAGTAATAAATTTTTTTTATATATATTTGCCCTTTATATAGGACCAATAATTATTACTTCAATTTAATGGTTTTCTTAGAGAATTAGTATTAAATTAAGGATTATATAGTAAATTTATTCAATAATTTATTGTAACTTAGATAAATTTGATGGTTTTCTTAAGAAATGTGAAATTTCAAATGTGACAACTATTATGGAACAGAGGTAGTACAAACCATCATTATCTTATGAAATAAGGAAATTATCTCTTTGTATTTATCATTTCGACCTAAGAAAAACCATTAGATCTAATATAAATCAATTATTACATATAGTAAAATAGGTAATTGTTTTAGTTGGTCTTCTTACTGGTACGAGGAGCGAAAGATTTTGAGTTCTATTCTCTTAACCACAAAAGCTTTTACTAATTTGGTGAGTTAAGAGGAGAACTATCCTTCTCGTATAGTCATTGTATTATTTCAGTTTATTGGACTTCACAACCAATGAAAAAATAAAGAGGTAGTTGATCTAAATTGAATTCTAAACAGGTTATTTTGTTGATTTGCCATTTAAATTGTCAAAGAAGAAAAATGCACAGACTGCACAAAAAAGGTAAAGAGTGACAAACAACACTACCAATAATTACTTACAGAGCAGTTTCTAGAGTATTGCATTAGGTCCATGTATTACTTTAGCTAGTTATTGCTCATTTAAGTGTATCCTTTTATTGGCTGAAAGGGGTAATGAGAAGAGAAGAAATTTCAATTCAAATAAAATCACTTTTTCTTTTTGAGTGACATTACTGTTTAAATATGAATAGAATCAAACAACAAAACATTTTGAATCAAAGCTGAATGGACAGGACCCAATTCAGATAACCGGACAAAAAAATAACTACTTGAGCAAGCAAATGAGCATACTGATTTACTGAATTCTTAGCAAAAAATTAAAAATGACAGAATTGAACTCCACCACTAGAATTTGATATTCAGAAACTAAAAGACCAAAATAAGAAATTTGAAATTTGAAACTACCATTTATAATAATTAAGGTTTTCCTTAAATAATTGAAAAGAATCATAATTTGGCATTGGCAGAACAAATTATGCAAGCAATAACTTAGAAAGAATAAGATCAACAGTGAGTGATTTTTAAAATAACAGGAATTACTTAATTATTAAAGAAAGTTAGGACTTAATGTTGTGATCTAAAAACAAACTAATATGACATTAATGGAATTTTCAAATTATTGAGATCATCATAATGTAATTGGCCCCATTTATGGTTGAAAAGGCCAGCTATATATATCAAGAACCAAAAGTTGACTTATTTATATGTATACTAAAACTTGAAGTCTTATATTTTTTACTTGAATATATAGGAAAGGAAATGAAAGGAAACCCTCCATACCCAATGACTAACCCTTGCTTAGCTTAAGCTCCACTCATCTACTTGTATTCTAATATGTCATGTCCTCAAAAACACTTAGAATAAAAATGCTTACAAATACCTCCTCATCAAACCTTCCTCCAAAACCCCTGAAAATAAAGATTGCAGAAGATGAAGATAAATGCCTAACAAGCCAAGCTTCAATGGAAGAATATTACCATGGAAAACCATCTGTTGGAATTCCTTTCATTTGGGAATCTCAACCAGGCACTCCTAAAATCAAGATAAGAGAAAACCCTATTCCTCCTTTAACTCCCCCACCTTCTTATTTCTACAGCTCCACACAGAAAACTTCAATTAAAAAGAATTACTCTAAACCTAATCTTTTTAACAATCTATTCCCTAAGCGTTCTTCTATAAGAAAAATAAGCCTTCCTATTTCACCTCGTCCTTCTTCATCATCGTCGTCGTCGTCTTCTTCTAGGTCGTCGTTTTCATCACATTCTTCGCCGTCGTCTTCAAGAACAGTACTGGTTTCAAGATCAAGAAAATCTTTTGATTCAAAAACTATGATGTATGAAGGAGAGCAAGAATGCGATTCGCCGAATTCTACTTTATGCTTTGGGATTGGTCGTGGAATGAATGTTAGGTCTCAAGGTTGTTATGCATCGATGATTAAGGTATTGCTTAATTAAGATTAAAGTGTTAATTAAGTTTAATGTGTTAATTAAATGTAATGGGGGTGGTTTTTCATTTCTTGTGATCATATATAAATACATGTTGAATGTAAGAGGGAGAGGAAGAAGAAGATGATATTAATTACCAAGTAACTCTTGAATGATCATGGTTGAATGAAACTTTATTATTCTTTTTCTTTCGCTTTCTTTTGCTAATTAATGATATTATTCTTTTGCCTCATGTTTAAAAAGATTTACTACTTATTTCCCTAACAAAAAAAAAAAACGGTTTACTACATAACAAAAAGGATTTATTACTTAATTGTGGGTTAATTTCATTTGGTTTAAACAAAATGAAAATTCTATATTTTGCTACTAGAAAAAGTACAATAATTTTTTTTTTTTTTTTTTTTTTTTTTTTTTATGAAACTTTTATTATTCACTTTTTTTCTTTCTGCGGTTTTCTTTTGCTAAGTTTTAATGAATATTATTCTTTGGCCTCATGTTTAAAAAAAGTGTACCTTTATCTTTTATTTTCCCCAAAAAAACAAACAAAAAAAGAAAAAAGAACGGTTTAATCTCGTATAACCACTAAAACTTCCTTACATTAAGACAAAAAGGATTTATTACTTTTTAATGTGGTGTGTTAATTCAATTTGGTTTTTAAGACAAAAATGAAATTTCTATAATAAATTTTGCTTATCAGAAGTACAATAATTTTTTTTTGGTTATTTTTTTTTTTTTTTTTTTTGTTTTTTTTTTTTTTTTTTTCTTTTTTTTTTTTTTTTTACTTAGTTAAATTAGGTTTTAATTGGTTGTTTTAATATGGCTGTTGCATATAGCCAAGCTATAAAATAATCGTGTTAGTTTTTCCCACAACTTTTTCACACGTTTAAAAGGAAATTAAAAAGAAAAAAAAATCAAAATAGATAGTCCAATTTTTTAAGTGGATCCCCAAAGTATTTAAGTGCATATAAATATTTTTTTTTTTTTTTTTTTTTCTTGGGAGAGGTTTTTTTTTTTTTTTTTTTTCTTGGGAGAGGTAATTAAGTGCAACGCATTAATATAATCCCTTAATTAGATGCATTAATTAAGGTTTAGTTTATCTTTATAATTATAAATCTCACTATAAAAACGACTGTAGCTAGGTCTTATGGCTTGCCTATATAATTAATAATTTTCGCACACTAAGACATACCCTAATTATAAATGCATATACAATCTGACAATAGATGCAGGTTCAAGTCCCCTCCTTTAATACTAAAAAAAAAAAAAAAATTTCCTTTCACTCTATATTATATTAGTTATTAAATGTATGGCGATGCATCTTGAAATCTATGAAAATTTCTAAATTAAATTTTGGGCATGGTCAAATAGATCTTAGATAAAAAAATTATACTAGTACAGTATTTAATATTGATACGTCACTCCTTTGCCTTTTGGGCATGTGAAACTAAATAAACAAAAAGGCAAGTCTCTACTTGCATTGATGACATTAATTCTATATTTCTAATAAATATTATAAGTAACAAACTAGAAAAGAATAAACAATTTATGCTCCGGTTGATTACGATAAAATAACTTACTGTAAAATCACTTGTTGAACTTGAAAAATATTTTTTAAATGACTTATTTTATGTTGTTTGGTTGTAATATTAAAAGTTAGTTAAAAATATTAAAGTGTTTATCTTTCGTAAAACCATAACAAGTATTAATAATAATAGAAATATTATAATTTAAAAATTTTATTGTTAAATATGAAAAGAATGAAATATATATATATAAATTATGAAAGTCGTCAGTGGCTGGCGGTGGCTGGTAGTGGTGGTCGATGGTAAATGGCGACTAATGGTAAATGATGACTGATGGCAACGACTATGATGATTAATAAATTAAAAAATATGGATTTATAAGATTTGTCAATATCCGAAAAATATTTTACTCTTTCAAAAATGAAAAGTTTTTCTTAAAAAATAACTTAATTTTCTTTTGATCAGAAAAATATTTTCCATTGACTTATTTTACTGAACGTCCCAAGCAACAAAAAATTATAAAAAATATTTTTCTGCAAGTTATTCTATGGAAACAAACAGAACCTTAGCATTTAAAAAATAAAAAAAAAAACCAACGATGACACGATGTAGGTGGTTATCCATACACTAATTTAATTTACTAAAAATATTTAGTAAAACGAGAATATATATATATTTTTCACTAGAAAACCAAAAGAGACAACGTAGTAATAAATTGTCGCCTTTTTTTTTTCTTAAAAATGAAATTAATTATTAATTTAATGCGGATTATATATACGTTGTGTGTGGAAAATACTTATTTGAAATAGTATATGATCTAACAAAATTAACTCTAAAATTTATCTCACCTATCTTTTTTTTTTATTATCTTGAATTGAAGAATCAAAACCCTAATAAATTCTAATACTTGTTACTGTAAAGAAATCGAATCAAAATCCTCTATAACGAGTGAAAACAGAATTTTCCTTATTTAGGAGAGAAAGGAAATTGTTTGCTTTTCTTTGTGTTTTTCTATGAATGACAGAAAATTTTTCTGCTGTGTTTGAATATAAGAGTTCTTATACACCAAAAACGAATTTAATTGATAAGTGAATATAGCATATAATAATAAATTGAGATTTGAATTCCATTTTTTTAAATAATAATATTATAGAATTCTTGAGGAATGCAGGTTGCACGTCCAGGTTTTTTTTTTTTTTTTTTTTTTTTTTTTTTTTTTTTTAAATATAACTATATAGAATTCTGAGGAATGCAAGGTTGCACAGTCCCAGGTTTTTTTTTTTTTTTTTTTTTTTTTTTTTTTTTTTTTGGGAAATTAACGAAGGACGACGGATCCTGAGTTTTGAAGTTGGGTAAATTTGGGCTTCTTGCATATTAACCTTTTGCGGGCTTTAGTTTGTCATTTTGGACTTCATTTTCTTAAATATATGTTAATAATAACCAAATGTAAGTCTGTGAATAATATATAACAATTATTTAGTATAATGGTAAAAAGATAAGCTGTAATATATAACAGTAATTATAAGAAAATAAATTATTTTATATTTTAAGATAATAACATATAAGAGAAAAAAAAAAGAAAATTAAACTAATATTAATAAGTAAAAATTATTTATATTAATAAGTAAAAATTATTTTATTTTGAAATGAGAAAGGAATATAAAAGAAAGAAATTTTGATAATAACATAAGTAACATAAATAAGTAATTTAATAAGCTACATGTAGAGAAAAATAATTTCAGTTTTCTTTTATATCCACAAAAATAAGTAACATACAACAATTTTTTCCGAAAAAAATTGTAGTTCCTTCTTATTTTTTTTTAAATTTAGTTTCAAAAAATGTCGGTATTCAAAGAACAGCCTAGGCCTAATTTTTTATGTTCATTATTCATGAGTTTTTTCAATTCAATGAACTCTCCCTCCCGTTTAAAGTCATGCTTTGACAAAAATTAATCATTGGAAGAATTTATTTCAAATATCAACTCTTTACTCTCTAGGGTTTTTTTTCTCTATTAATTTTATTTTTCTTTTGTATCAAAAAAAAAAAAGTAACATAAACTTTTTCTAAAAAAAAATTTAGTTCCTTCTTATTTTTTCAGATAATCCATTAATAAAAAAAAGACAAAAAAATAAATTTAAAAAAACACTTATTTTTCCTGGTAGTTAAAAAAGCCTTAGTTAATGAGCTTGGTGTATAGAGTAATCTCATTTACTAGAAGTTAGGTTGCATGAACTCGGGACACGAGATACAAAAATTTACGTGATACGATAATTTTTAAAAAAGTAGGATATTCACACGCTTAGTAGACAGTATAGTAAATAAGTATAATATTTCAAATAGATAAACAATCATTTATAATAAATCATAAACAAGAAATAAAAAAAAACACTTGATTTCTTATTTCAATATAATTAGTTAAATTCTCAAAATTATTAATATAATTAGTTAAATTCTCCAAAAATTACCTTATTTGATGTATGGTTATAGGGAATGTCATAGATAAACAATCATTTATAATAAATCATAAACAAGAAATAAAAAAAAACACTTGATTTCTTATTTCAATATAATTAGTTAAATTCTCAAAATTATTATTTGATGTAGGTTATAGGGATGTCAAAATAGGTTAGGGTTGAGATTAAACGGGTTCATGTTATAAATGTATCACTCATTTATGACACAAATATAAACTTATCGTGTCGCGGATTGGCATGCGAGTTAGACGAGTGACTCGTTTATCTAAGAGTAAAGAGGTAATTTTAGTATTAGGTATAAATAATTCAACTAAAAGCTATTTAAATTTCATTGTTGTATTACTTTTTCATTTTACTTATAAATTTTGAAGAATTTATGCATTTTATTTATGAAAATTTATTTTTAAATATGATTGAAGTTAAATAAATTAAAACTTAAAAATATTATAAACAGGATGAGTGGGTCGTATGCAGATCAATATAATTCACTTAATTTGTTTATGATATTAAGCGGGTTACACAGATTGTATATGGCTCAACACGAACCACTTAACATATTTATGATATTAAGCATATTAAACGTGTTGTATTCGTGTCACCTGTCTAATTTTCATGTCACGTTCATATTGATAAATTTAACATAATTATTAAATTGCTCGTGTTCGTGTTGACCCTAAGTGTGTCCTGTATTAGGCTAATTTGTTTGAACTTGACACACCAACCCATTTTGATACTCCTAGATTATATTATGTATAATAGTTATTATTGTATATTTTGGTAAAAAGTTTCGCAGAATACTTAAGAAGACACATCTTAATATTATAATTTTTTTAACATATCTTAATGAGATATAATATTTTATAATACATTTCACGATCATTTTATTATATAATTTTATTATTTTCAAATGATATTATAAAATATTATTTCATCATTTAATATTGTTCCAGTGCGTCATAACACTAGTTCGTTTAAGCAGAAAGAAATAGGAAATAATTTCTAGTGGAGATGACTAACTTTAATGCTTTAAAATTAAGAGTCCCCGGTTTCAATCTCTCTTTCAATATTTAATTTGTAATTTCTGCCTTCACCCCATATGGATGAAGTTGTCCTTAATGAGTTTTGACGTATTTAAATTGAAATTCTTGATTTAAAAAGAAATGAAATTCTTTCAAAATTGGTGGCCAATAGCCACGGTAGAAAAATAAAAAACAAATATTGATGGTAAAATTAAGTTTGTAATGCCCCTATATTTTAATTAATTTTTTCACTTAATGATTTTAGTTAACATATTTAATTATTTAAATTGAAACTAATTAGTTCATTTATTTTATATCCATTAAACAAATATAGCGTGGTAATTTTGTTTTTGACATTTAGTGTTTTAAATTATTAGATTAAAAATATGATAATTTTTTCATTCAAATGTGAATATTTTTTACTATTCATTCGAAAAAGAAAAAGAAATAAAATGAAGGCAACATTTTTAAAAATCTCTATTTTGACAGTTTTGATTTATAGATAAGCCAATAAAATGGGTCTGAGATAAATTTTTTCTACCAAGTTTTGTACATGCATGTACTCAATGTTATTATTATAGATTAATTATTTTTCAAGTATCGAGAATTTTTAGATGTAAAATGAATAAATAAATAGCAATAAAAAATTCCATCTTAATGAATCCCAAAAATTGAGTTCATGTGGGTTGCTTTCAAAGTCACACGTGAGCAAGCTACCATTGTCAAAGCTTGCTTTTCTTTTCCAAATAACCTAACCCTCCTCTAATATTATAATCACCAAATGATTAAAATAAAAATTTGCATTAATTCTCACTTCAATTGAATTAAATCTTCTCCCTTTTGTTTTCTTCTTACTCTTTTTGTTTTATCTTTAATTTTAAATATCATTGACTTACTTTTCTCTCTTATTACCTTGCCTTTTAAGCACCTACATTTTCCATTCTCATTCTTCTCTTTCTTCCCCATTCTTCTCTCTCTTTGATCTAGACAACCAACTAGCATGCTTGAATGTCCAGAGACAGGTAAAAACTTTTACCCACCAAATCACTGGAAAAGATCTCTCTTCCTCTCTAAAAGAAAAACCCATGACCCTAGCTTTAGATTTTCTTGATTTTCTTGATCTCTTTCATTCTTCTTTCTTGTTATTAAAACTCTGGTTTTTTTGCAGGGAAAGATTTGAAGAAATAGCGAAGAAGATAAAGAGAGAGAGAGAGAAAACTGATGCCTACTATGAAATGGGAAGGAGACATATATTAACTCCTCCTGGATTAATTTTAAATACGATTACACCTTGTGCTGCTTGTAAGCTTCTGAGAAGAAGATGTGCTGAAGAATGTCCATTCTCTCCATATTTCTCTCCGCATGAACCTCAAAAATTTGCTGCCGTTCACAAAGTCTTTGGTGCAAGCAATGTCTCCAAGATGTTAATGGTATATTTATACATATCCCTTTTACTAATCTTTCTTTTGTTTTTTTCTCTAATATATAATTTATTTCTTCAATTTTTGCTGTATATATATATATTGAATATCAAAAATTTTTAAAGGGATCATAGTTTCTGATTTTAAACTTCTGAATTAGAATATTGTATTAAAATGAATACATTAAGGTCAGCCATATATTTGTTGGATAATTTTGAAATAGAATTAAGTTAACGAGATTTAAATACAATAAAAACAAAAAATTTAGAAATTTGTATGCAAAAGTAAAATTTAATAATTAATTTATTGGATTATTGATGCAAATTACTCGATTATTGTCAATAGAAAATAAATATTCGATCGGCTAGTCTATTCTTTCGGATTATCTTGGTTTATAATATATATATTTTTTAATTTTAAATTTTGTAATCTTTTTAAGATTTCATGATATGCACGTTAGAAATATTTGAAGATTTGAAGATTTGACATATTTATTGTGAGGCAGTGACCATAATTATTAATTTAGTTCCCTAAAGTCTATGGATTAGAGTTTAATATATATATATATTTTGGCCTTTTGTGGGTTATATAAATGTAGGAGGTGCCTGAGAGCCAGAGAGCAGACACGGCAAATAGTCTAGTTTATGAAGCAAATTTGAGGCTAAGAGATCCTGTTTATGGCTGTATGGGTGCAATTTCAGCTTTACATCAACAAATTCAATCTTTACAGATAGAACTTAATTCACTAAGAGCTGAGATTATCAAATACAAATATAGACAGGCCACTAATAGTAATAATACCATTACTTCTACTAATGATTCTGTTTTAGCTTCTGAGACTTTGTCATCTATTGTTGCACCGCCATCACAACCGCCGCCGCCGCTCCCGCTGATGCCTCCACCGCCTTCTGTTGTTGTTTCTTCACCATCTTCATCATCTATTTCATCCTTATACACACCACCAACTAGCTCATCAACGGGATACAGCTCCAATATTTCTAGTGTTAATGTTCCATATTTTGATTAGTTTAATAAATCATTTCTATGTTTTGCATTGATTTGGTAATAATTTACTAATATTGTTTACTAGAGCAGTGGATTTATAATTTATTTTGTTTTTTCTTTCCCTTTTGATAAATAATATAGAAAATAAAATAGGAAATAAATACGCTGTTTTAATGATTTGAAATTAATTAATTTTCTACCTAATTTCTAAATAAAGGTGGAGTAGGTTTAATTAGAACATTATAGTTAGTAAATTATGTTGAATAATTTACTGAAAAGACTGCAGTCTCAAATATTAATGCATGTAGCCATAAATGTATAGACTTTTGAGGGTATATATTGCTAGAAGACTGTCACACAATTTTTCGTATTTTGGCTGCATTTTGTTTTGGAGAATTTTTTTTTTTTTTTTTTTTTTTTTTTTTTCACCACCAACCTTCTCGCCGAGCCAACTGCCTCCATCATCAAGGCGGCGCATTAACGACATCACCACAATTACTTAATGCTATGATGGTTAAATGTTCCATAATTTTGGATTAGTTCCTTGATTTATAAATCATTTCATATAGCTCTTTTCTGGCATTGATTTGGTAAAATACCTTACTTATATATTTGTTGTACGATAGAGCTCAGTAGGATTTAATAATTTCTTTCTTGGTTTTTTTACTTTCCATCTTTTGAATTAAATACTGACTACGGAAGAACGATAGAACATAGGAACCATAAAATACGGCTTGGTTTCTCTAAACCTGATTTCTGATATATTAATTAAGTTTTCTATCTAAATTTATAAAATAAAGTGTAGGTAGTAGATTTAATTAGACACTTAATAGTCATAGGTAATATTATGTAGAAATTAATTCTACGGTTGAACCAAGACTGCAGTCCTCAATTTAATGCATGTAGCCATCACAGGATGCTAATAGTGTGACACTTTTGGAGGGTAATACAAGAAATGACTCCTAGCAATCCAGCGCCAATTAAGAACTGTGCACACAATTTTTCGTATTTTGGCTGCATTATTGTTTTGGAGAAATTTATAATTTTTCTCTCTATTTTTTTTTTTTTTTTTTGCAAAAACTTGTTAACCACTGCTGTTCATTTTTGGATATTTCAAAGTTTGCTCATGAAAATATAAACTTAAATGAGCAATATTTTTTCTTAATCAAAAAGAACATATAAGTGCGTTTTAATAAATTAGAAACAGAGAACCTTTACAAATTTAAAATATTTTTACAGTCTTTATTCTAAAAATATATTATTTTTACAGTCTTTAACATTATTTTATTCTAATTTTTCAATGTAATAATCAAAAACACCACGCGTATTCCTCTGCAGATAAAGTACATTTAATTTTTATAAAACTATCGTCAATTTCAAATAATCATCATTCAATTATTCTCTTACTATGCACTAGAGATTACCCAAAGTAGCTTTTTTTTTTTTTTTTTTTTTTTTTTTTTGCAAAAACTTTTAATCTGTTCATTTTTGGATATTTCAAGTGGTCAGAAAAATTAAATTAATGAGCAATATTTTTTCTTAATCAAAAAGAACATTAAGTCGTTTTCAATAAAATTAGAAACAGAGACTTTACAAATTTAAATATTTTTACAGTCTTTATTTCTAAAAAATATATATTTTTACAGTCTTTAACATTATTTATCTAATTTTCAATGTAATAATCAAAAACAAGTTTTTAGAAAATATTAATTTTTTAAATATTATTCAAAATAAATTATTTTATATGAAAGAACAAAAGTACAAAAACACAGTTCACTGATTGCTATGGTAACAAGAGAGAAGTTGCCAATCGATAGCTAGATTGAACTTTTTATTATTTTTTTTTTCTTTCATTATCTTTGTTGATCTTTCAATATTTATTTCTTTTTCAAAATATTGTTTAAAGGTGGGAATGAATATCATGTGGGTCATGTCTATAATGACCCTAATATGTGTTTAGACATAGATTTATCAGGAATAATTGAGTATTTGAAATAAGAATTTTGTTGATTTTTTAACTTAATTATAATTTCAAATGCTCAATTATTTTTACTCCTTGTTTGGAATAAATGAAGTCCACAAAATTTTATGAAATTCACCAATAAATTTAAAAATTTTGTGTTTGGTACAAAACAATTAAAAAATTAAATTAAATTGTATGAATTCAATTATATAGATTTAAATAAAATTAAACAAAATTAAAAAAAAAAGTTTCCTAATGAGTTTCAGAAACTTAAATAATGAAAGTTTTATGACAATACTATCTAGATAAATAATAAATTATGCTTTATTATTAGTATCTAGATAATAATAAATTGTACAGGATAAATCTCATTCTAATGGTCAAAGGAAATATTTTTCTAATTACACCTGAAATTGACATTTGTGAAATAATTAGGATTATACGTTTAATATTTGGTTCAATTTTACATAATCTTTTGCTCATAAAAATATTAAGTTATTTAATTTTTTTATTTTATTAACAAAAATTACTTGCATGTTATTTAATATATAATATTTTGTTGCTTCGGTTCATGACAAACAATATGATAATTTTATTAATTAGATTAAGAGTGAAATTAATAATTTACTCATTTTAAACATGAAAAAACTTACATACGTCTAAGCACTGGTGGAATAGCTTATTGTGGAGGGTGCAAAACGTGGCAGAGGCATTGGTGAGTCCAAAAGACCTAAGAAAATCAAAACGCCAAATGATTATATTATCCCATGATCAAACTTTTTTTTTTTTATACGTGAGAGACTCAACGGACCAGAATAACATTATGAGCTACAAGATAGGAGGTAGCCTTCTCTTTGTGGTGGAGAAGAATTGAACTCAAAGACCAACCATGATCAAAATCTTTTGGAACCTTGATCCCTTAGTATCTGCTTCATTCATTAGAATCGAATTTTTGACTTCACTTAAAAGAGAAAGTGCCGAATCATGACACTTGTTGGTTTGATCCCTTGTTTATTGAATATTGGAAACTAAACATAACAATATCCACACTTAAACAAAACATAATAACTCTCCAAATTGCAAAATATATGAACTAGTTGACCCTATTACATTTCTTCCTAATTTCACCACTAGATCCAGTTAGAGGATCAATATCTCCCATCTTGATCATTGCAGAAACAAAGTCTGAATTGAAGGTTTTTGGGTTATTGCTATATGTTCTAACCAAAGAATCTGTGGATCCACCATTAAAGAGAACTTGATCAGAATGGAGAAGACCCTTTTGGTTAAGTAGGTTCTTGAAATAATTGTTGTCAAAAGCATTAGGAGTTTGGACATCGAGAGGTGCTAAATTGTTGTCTCCTGAGCCTGTAGCCCTTGGACAATTCCTTTGTCTTGTGCTAGCAAATGAACTATCAATATTTGTCTCGTTGTATATGCGATTTCTGAATATCACACACCTTGCCTGTCCAATTGTATGGGCTCCTGTTACATACATTAAGCAATAAAGATTAATAATAAAACAAAGATTTGACCTGAGGGGTGAGATAGGATGACATAAATTTTTCTCCTTGAGGTTTCAAGTTCGAACTCTAGAAATGAAATCTCTTTTAAACACTTGAGAGGGAGCGCTTTACCCCTTTGTGGGCATGTCCAATATATATTTAGATTAATCGAGCCAATGAATTTGGATACTAGATGGTCCAAAAAATAAAATAAAGATTTTTATGTTACACATACACCTTATGCAAGAACAACCTAATTGGGTATTAGATTTCAGGTAAAATATAATTGGATCACTAAATTATATTCAAATTAACACTTAATTCCTTGTTAATTTAAAAAATAACTATGATATCTTTAACTTATGTTCTATCTCACTGTCGGGTCCTTCTGTTCAAAAAGTAAGCTATTTCCATTTAAAAACTGAACATATTTTGTCCATAAAAATGTCTAACTAAGAGCTCATTTTTTCGATAGAAGGATCTAATAGTGAGATGAAAGCATAAGTTAGAAATGTCATTAAATCAAACATAATTTATAGCGATGCAGTTATATTTTACCCTTAAATTTAAAATTATACAGGTCTTGGATTCGAACCGCAGGACCTACATTAATAAGTAACGTACCAGACAAAGCAACCATGTCCCTGGCAGAAAGACCTTTAGCCTTAAATCGATTGATGAGGTTGCTAAGAGTAGAAGTAGGAGGAGGAATAACACCACTATTTGCAGCAGAAAAGCTTGCTGTTTTTGAGTCCCTCCTTCCTAGCTTTACAGCCCAATTTGGTCCTCCAAGCTATAAAAAATAAACACCACATCGATCACAAACATTTCAAATAGCTACATGTTCTTGAATAAAATTGGAGATGGAAAATGAAAAAAGTAGTTACAGTAACAGTAGAGTCGCGAGCAGCAATGGCGAGTATATCAGCACAGGAGACGACGCCTGGGCAAACTTTCTCCACTTTAGCCTTTATATTATTAATAACATTAAAGCCTCTTACAGAATTATTATTTGGGCCTGCAGTTTGCTCTCCAGTGAAAGAAGCAGTGTCTTCTAGGAGTATAGACCCATCACAACCCTGTTACAATATATATTTTAATTAATTTTGTTATTATTATTATTATTATTATTATTATTATTGCAATCAATGTATTGAAACTTTTAATTATAAATTTGAATTAATCTAATAATAAATAAGAAACTAAGTATAATAATAATAATAAGCGAGAATAAAGATAAAAATGTCTATTTGAAAGAATGAAAAATTCGATAAAGATCGAGAGAAACGGTTATAAATTATAATTTTGATAACGACTAATATTAAGAATAATCAACGATAAACATCTCTTTTTCTTTGATTAGATTGACATGACTTATCAATTTGTAATTTTCTAATAATTTTCCTTTTTTTTCCCTTGTTTTTATTGATATATGTATTTGCCCGGACAAATAAAATCATTTTCACTTTTTATTTTATATATTAAATATTATCGATAAAATATGACCCATATATATCATAAACACTATTATAAACGTCATCATCAAGCAATTTAATTATTTTATTATAAAATAAAAATGTTATCTGTGCCTTTTAATTTTTTAAGCTTCTATATTTTTTTATTTAGCGGAGTTGAATTAGAATTTAATAATGACAAGCACATGCACTAACCTATAAAATTAATAAATTTCTTTAACTAAACTATAATTATAATAGCCTATCTAAAAGTATCGGGCCATAATTATAATTTTATTAGATACAAAATAGGGGTTTCATCTGGCATTCGGAGTCTATTGATTTGATTAATTCGGATTCGTGCTAGGCAGCCAATAAAAGAGGATAAAACACTCACTTTCGAGTCTTTAAAGGGACTCTGCACCTACTATTCAAACTCGAGACGTGACAGCCTAGTTGTGGTCCAGTTCTTGAAAGGAACAGTTCAATCTTCTGGCTTTCTTTAACAACTAGTCATTACCATTCAACACTTGTTTCTTCAATTCAGTGTACTTGAGATTACTCATGTGTATATGGAGGCCAATTTCTATGCAGACTCTCTCTAAAATTGCTAGAGACTATCCCTTGGGTACTCATATCCTAGATTAACAGTTTTCTTAGAGCTTTGCTCTCTTTCATTATTAAAAAAAAAAAAAAAAAATTTTGATAACGACTAATATTGAAGAATATTCAACTATAAACATCTCTTTTTTCTTTGATTAGATTGACAATGACCTTTAACCTCAATTTGTAATTTTCTAAATAAACCCAAATTGTTCTCCATTTTTTCTTTTTATTCCCAAAATATGTTTTTTAGAGTTGATAATAATGTATTTGCCCGGAAATACATACAATTCTATTAACACCATTAGAATCATTTTTTCAAAAACAATCAACACAACCTTCTCATTTTCCTGAATCTTGGTCTATATATTCATGTAAATTACTCTCAAATACGACTGGAATAATATAGACTACACACATAATAAATATCAGTAAGAACACTATTAATACAGACCTAATTCGTCATCATTCACCCAGCAATTAATTTAATTTTTATATAAGCACTAATATAAAACCTGAATTTCAGTTCGTGGACTTATTATAATTCTTTTTATAGCTACTAACACTTTTTCTCCTCTTCGGTAGGCCCAGTCCACGGGTCTCTCCAGAGAGTGAATCGTAGATGTGCAAAATTAGAATTAATAATGACATAGCAGGCAACACACCATACCTCGGGCTTATGGCCCGAGGGGGGTCCATAAAAATTGCATACCAGAGATAAATCATTTGCGCGAAAATGGGTCGCCGACGTCCGAGAAGGCATTGGCAAGGTCTTAGCCCAGATATCCATCTCTGTCGTAGCATCTAACCCTTAACCTAGTAATTACTAATTTCTTTAAAACTAAAAAACTATACATTATAACCAGCCATTAATAGCCTAATCTAAAGTATTCGCGAAGCCGCGAAACCAAATAAATTTGTACCAATTCTAAAACGCATTAGGAACCATTTTTGTTATGATTTTTCATTTTATTTAAGTATACCGAAAGAGCTCACGGAGTGTGTTTTCTATTCTGGCCATCGGATACGCGCGGGCAGTCCTATTGATTTTTCCGAGGTGTCCAATCTGATGCAAATTCGAGGTTTTCAGATTCCCCCCTGGGTGTTGCTTAGGAGCCCCGTTCAGTGGGAAGGCCTTGTTCCGGAAGCACACACACATCTGCTTAACGCCTACGGCCGCAGGATTTTATTCCCCTCAATAAAAAAGATAGGAGTACACCATACTACACCTAAGGTGCAAACTTTATTCTGAGCGAGTCTTAAATCCCGGATGAGTCCCAACTGTGGTCAAGTACCCCTATCTCGGTCTACTATTCATAGGCCCATGGTGCATTACTAACGAAAGGACGAAATACGCCATATTAAGAAAGTCATCGCGGCAACTCGGTGCAGTTGTGGTCCCAGTTCTTGACACAGGGAACTCAAGGGTCCCTCTTAATTGGCAGTGTCTTCTTTTTGGCTCTTATCGGGTCTAACCAGGAACACTAACCTAGTCAATTTCTGTCTGTCACCCCTTTACACAGCATATCATACTCGGACACGTTGTCTGCTCTATCAAATAACATGTAAACTTGAAGATTACTCATGGTTATATGGAAAACATTGTCTAACACATGTAGGCCAATTAATCTTCGCATTGCATGACTACTCATCTATAATTATTTGCTAGAATCTCACCATTTCCCTTGGGTGACGCGTACCATCATCTCTAGATCTACCCACCAAGTTTTTCTCGTTTAGAGCTTTTGGCTCTCATGGTTATGTATCATTTATTAAATAAGAAAAAAAAAAAAAACTATTTACCCCCCGTTGTCCCTTATTCCTGTACTGCACCAAAATATGCTAATTTGGTAACTAACGGGGATCAACCGAAATACCCATATCCTCACAAGTGTCTGTCAACTCATGCAATAACAAATCAAAAAAAAAAAAAAAAAAAACTATTTACGGTCCCTTGTTGAAAAAATCTATTTGGACTAACGGGGAAAAAATTCCTCCAAGTGTCTGTCAAGAATAGCAAATGTTATCTTGGAAAGACATAAATGATAAAGAAAATCACAGCTACTTCGATCAAATAAGGAACTAGCTAGTGACAGCTCCACCTCCATGTGGGATTTTGAGTATATATAATTATAATAATAATAATAATAATAATAATAAAACGATGCATAAAGAAAGAAAATTACTTTGACAAAGCAGTCGTGAAAGAAAAGGCGAACGAGAGAAGCACCCATTCTTCGCTCTTTCGAAATTGCATCTGCAACAACAGGTTTCACTGTTTCAAAAAGCTTTGGGCAACTTTTAGAATAAAAACCTGTAGAAAGCTGAGCTGAGGAGCTTCCATTGAAGAAAATCAAAAGAAAACCTACTAATACAGAAATGACTGTACAAGAAGAATAATTATTACTAGTAGCAGCCATATTTTGAAGTGAAGTCATACGACTGTGGATTGGGTATATATATAGAAGTATTGGGCAGAGCAGGTGAACAAATCTTAAAGACCGGTACATGCAAATTGCAATTCTACGTCCACATAAAAAATAAATTTTGATTAATCAATCAAATTAGGTCCATATATAATTGATTGATAACAAACTACAATCATAGTCTATAAACAAAAAAAAACATGTTTGAATAGTTATAAAAATTGATGTTTAAGCAAATACAATTTTGTCAAACTTAAAGGGTCCATTTTATTTTTTAGTCGTTATCTTAATATTAGGCATATAAGATGATAACCTTGAGAAGTTGAAATCTAGAAATAATATTCCACCAAAGAACTGAAAATTAATAAACTATTAAAAATTTAAGTTTGACCCCAAACTCATTTTGTTATTTTTTAAGTTTATATAGAAAAATAAATAGATTTTAGATTATAAAAATTAAAATATTGGCCCATCAAAATAATAATAAATATTATATACTAACATCTTACTCCGGACATCTTTATTTTTTCTTGTTTCTTGTTTCTTATTTTAATAAATTAATTAAATTACATTACAAATTATTATTCATGATTTGAATACTAATGTGAAAACTAATGCTTACTTTGAAACAATAACTTCCGTCTTATTGAATTTCAAGATTATTTAAGTTTATATAATTAATAAAAAGAATAATTCAGAAAACATTACATACATCTTATTAAAAACAATTTTGACTTACACAAACCAATCTGATTGTTCTTCTCGTTAATGTGATTAGGAGTGGGAGATTTTAATGAATCAAGAAGAGGATTATATTTATTGAGTAGTTCATTGTATTATCTCGACGTATTAAATCTTTAAACGAATAAAAAAAGCAATATTAATTTGATAACCATGTAATATTAAAGTTAGTTGATAATGAAGGAATCTGCTGTCGGGAAATGAGCTGTGGTTCTATTCTATTAATGCGACTTTAAAATGCAACGTTTATAATAACGGGATACAGATAGAGCTTTTTTTAGATAGAAGTTCATTAATCAAAGTTAGGCACTCTAGATAGAGCTTGTTTTTTTAAACAAATTCAACTAGAAATTTCATTAAAAGAAAACTGTATATAGATATGAAATACAGATCAATATGTTTCTATATTTTTGGATAGGAAGTCTAATAATAAACTGCTAAAAATAAAAAAACACAATTTTGATTTGAAGTATCTGATCGAGTTGACAGAGAATAAAATGTGTGCCATCGGCGATCATTTGCTTCACTTAGTGGCTATTCATGGCCACTGTTCAATTCTATGGTCTTTCTACAAATCCGATTTGATTACCTTCAAATTTCTTCTGGAGATCTGCACTTATTTCTACATAAATATCCAAATAACAAAAGACACTAGACAAAATTACTATAATGATGACAATAATAACTCAGAATTATATCTGAGAATAAAATCTCAATATATAAGCGACAACAAATCCCAATAATTAAATCTGTATATAAATCTGAGGATTATTTGCAAAAAAATCTAAAAAAAGAGAAAGAAAAGGAAAAAGGGATAACCATTGGTGATAGCTCACCTGTGGCAGCTGATAGAAGAAGAAAAAATAACTTTTAAATTTTAAGTTTGATAGACATGGCTTTTCATTTTTCTATTATTATATATGCATGCTATAGTTCACTCTACAAGATAAAAGATAAAGTAGTTGATTTGTCAAATAATTAGTGCATTGAATTCAAATCTAAAATTAATATTTGATTTTGATTTTTCTATAGCTATTTGAAAAGTCAGAACCTAATATACATTGAACCTAATATTCGTTGCAATATTATTATTTTATGTGTTTAAGGATTATTCAAAAATAGAGGAAAAAAAAAAATAGTACATCAAATAGCAATTCTTGATGGGCAAGCTTTAATAGTTTCAGAATACTTGGCTCTAAGCTGTTGACAATTGAAGTAGACATACCACCGCTCAACTCAATTATTTTTTGAAATGTGCTACGTAGTCTTTTTAGTATACCCAAATTTAACTACTTAATTCTTATCTCTTCACAAAAAAATACATCAATATTTATTTACGTGGTTTACTCTCGTTAGACTAATAAGTCATTTTATTTAAAATTTATATTTTTTATCTTTAATTTTAACAAAAATACTAAAGTACTCTTTATCTTATTTCTATTATATTTCTTAATGCTAAAAACAAAAATTAATTTATTTTAATTATAATATAATTAATTATTAAAACAATAATTACTCATACATAAATTTATCGAGAAAATAAGGCCAGTCTTATCAATTTACAAATATACAAAGCATATTAATTTCATATTTATTGAGAATTAATAATAAAGTATAAAATTTAGATGAAATGAACAAACTGTTGAACAGTTCTAACAATCAGATTTAATCAAATCGTAGGACGGAATAATAATTCTCCTTGAGAAACACGATGAAAATGATGTTAAATATACTCTAGATATGAAAAAGACTATTATTATTGGTGCATCATCATCACCTAACATATAACAAACAATGATTAGGCTCATCTTCGGAATCTACCAATAACAGTTTCTTGAAAGCGAAAAAATAATTAAATAAATAAGTTTGTAATTAAGTATAAAATTTAGGTTACGGTTCTTTCCTTAAAATAATTTGCAGAAAAATATTGTTCACAATTTTTCATTGTTTGAAGCGTTCAAAAAAATAAGTTAACGGAAAATATTTTTCCGATCAAAGAAAAATTAAGTCATTTTTTAAGAAAAATAACTTTCCATTTTTGAGAGAGTAAAATATTTTCTTCACATTAGCAAACTTTATAAATCCATGTTCTTTAATTTATTAATCATCAAAGTCACTACCACCAGTCACCATTTACCATTGACCAGCACCACCGGCTACCACCATCGGCCCCACCACTACCGGCCACCGGCGCCACCACTACCGGCTACCGGCAGCTTTCATAATTTTTCTTTTTTTTTGCATTCTTTGCATATTTAATAATAAAATTTTTAAATTATAAAATTTCTATTATTACTAATATTTTTTATGGTCTTATCAGATAAAGACTTTAATATTTTTAATTAATTTTCAATATTACTACCAAACAACGGAAAATAAATCATTTGGAAAATATTTTTTATGAAAATATTTTTAAGCAAATTATTTTTTTGCAAATTATTTTACGGAAATAAACGGAGCATTACTGAAAAATATTAAGCACATGATATCTATGTTTCTATTTATAAATTTATTTGGTATGGTAGTTGTAACTATATATAATAAAATCCATTTTTGATTCCTTTAGCTCGCAAAGTCAACTAAATAAAAGAAAATTTGCGGTCAAATTAATAAGATGCTACCTAATCTAGCTGCTTTTCTTGAAGCAAAATTGGCAAGTAAGACCATGTCCTTATTCTTGTTCTTTCGCTAGCTCTGGATTTCTCTCCGTTGGAAACAAGCTGTAAAAGTAATTATCTAATAAATCAGTAATCACTTTTAATTACCTGTATAAATGAGCTGAGCCGGCTTGCGAACCGTTGAAGTTCAATTCAGAAAATGTTTGAAAAAATTCGATTCGAATTGAACCCGAACTCGAGCCTAATTAGTGATATTTAGCTCAAAAGCTCGTTGAGCTTTATTGAGCCTTGTCGAACTTTTATATGTATATAAATAATATTTATTTTAGACTTATTCGAGTCTTGAGACTTGAGCTTAAAGCTTTTCAAGTTGAATTCGAGTTTCAAGTTGAGCTTGAACAGAACTCAAATCTCAGATTTTCAGACTTGTTGAGTTTCGGTTTAAACATAAAAATTTTTAAATTTATCTAGTTTCTGGTGAACTTAATTTTATTGAGCCGAGCTCGACAAATTTGAACTCAGCTAGGCTCTTTTAAGCTCCTTACTTTCAAAGATGGAGTGGCATAAAAATTCCGTTAACCATGTCGGAAGATGGCTTGACCTTTTTAGTGCATGTTTGTTTGGAATGTTAGATGGAATAACTTTGTCTTTATTTGGAATGTTACTTGGCTTGACTTTTAAGCTCTTTTGTGCAGGTTTAGCTTGTGGTATTTTATATAAAAAAATTCTAGTTAAACGCTGCTAAAATTGAAAACTACTAAAATAATTATCGGTAATTATCAAAAAAATTAATTCTACAGAATATGTTTTTAAACTTTTTTTTTTGTAAATCATCGGTATCCGGATCTTATTATCAGAGATCGCATAATCCGGTTTGGGGCTTAGTCACAGTTAAAGCTCTTCACCCTTCACTGCAGACGTGTTTAATGGAGATCAAACCCGATAATTCTTCTTATAAGTCCGGTCTGTTTTGCCAACTGAGCCACAAATAATAGCTCATTTCCTTAAACGTTAAATTTATATCTTTTTTATACTTGTTTGTAAATAAAATTAATTGAGAAGTAATTTCGATACAATCGAGTTACAAGAAAATTTTGGATAATGTTACAAAATCTAGAGAAAATTGCACAAAGTAATTGAACATGATTCATGTATTTTAATTGCAATTTTATATTTAATGTAAAAATTAATTCATAGTATTAATTTTTCTTTTTTTCTTGTTTATTATATGATAAAAAAATTGAGGGACCAAATTTAAGTCTAGAAGATGCTCAATAGATGATGATAATTGAAACTTAATGATTTTTCTTACTATTATTATTTATAGGAAATTTGAAAAATATAATATTCTTATATATTTATTTTTCATAAATTGTTATTTTTTATTTAAATTTGTTTGCTTATATGATTAGTTTTTTTATATGATCACCAAACCGTCAAATTGAACCACATTTTTGGTTTGGTTAGTTTTAATATCTTTCATGGCTTGATTCGGTTTGGATTTTTTATAAACCATGGTTACATGTTTAATTTGATAAAGCTTTCAAACTGAATCAAATTGAGTTATAAATATATCCAGTTCAAATTTATGTATAAACTCAAATTTTATTTAAATTTTTTTAATTTTCTGGAAATTCTGATTTTAAACCGGACCAACTTTATGAACCGCTCTTTGTTTTCACTCTAGTCCAGTAAAATAAGTGAAGATACACCATGGATGGGTTTAGCTAAAAGAGAAGCTTACTCGCTCGATGTATCCACCGCAGCTTCCGTTGGCGCGTACGCGCGTGGTGTCGCCACAGGACGTAGACAAGTCGCAAGCTGAGCCCGGAGGCCTTGAAGCGTCTCTCCTCCAGCTTATGCAGGATCACCATAACACGTCTCTCCGTCTCCGTGACCGCACCGGTTAGTTCGATTCCAATTTCTCAATCCTTTTCAATTTCTTCAATCAAATTTCTTATAATTTTTAATGTAATTGAAAATCAGAGAAGGCAAAGAAAGATGCCATTAGAAACGCAGTTAGGGTTTCGGATCTGTTAATGGATGCAGTAAATGGTGGGGTTCAAGAATCTTTTATCAATGAGAAACGAATTGAACTCGAGATTCGAGCTTTAGCTGTTACAATTTCTAGATTCATGAGGCAAACCGATCAATGGCTTGCTGCAACTCACGCCATTAACACTGCGATTAAGGTTACATTTCGCTTTCCTCTCTACTCATTTTCTATTTTCATTTTGTTTTAAGATTTGTTAATATAATACTTATTATTGATATTAAAGTTTAAAGATTGTTTTTTTTTCTTTTTTTTTTTTTTTTTTTTTTTTTTTTTTTTATATACATATACATACATTCATTTTCTACTTTTTCATTTTGCTTTCAAGAACTTTGTTATATATATACTTATTATTGATATTAAAGTTTTAAAAGTATTGTTTTTTTTCTTTTTTTTTTTTTTTCTTTTTTTTCTTTGCATTAGGAAAATTGCGAGTGACTTTTGAGAGAATTGGCATGAAGACAATCGGAGGTTTTGATTGATCAAACAATAATAAGTTACAGTCAAATTCGGTCCTACATTCATCTCTAATAGTGAACACTTCCAAAATATACACACAGAGCAAAACTTGCTTATTAATTCCAATGATTATGTAAATCTCTTTATAGATTTGCTTACAACTTTGAGGAATCCCACTGTCGCTTAGCCATTTGTATTTTTCTTCTTCCCCATTTTCCACTGGAACACTTTTTTGATGGAATCATCATTTTGCATTGGCTATGTCTGATTGTTTTCCTTGTGTTGGGTAGTTGGTTACAACATAAAACTAACGGGAGCAGGATTAGATTACATTGGAACTAATAGGGTCACTGCTTATAAAAAATTTATTTGGTCTTGAAAACTTTTTGGTCAACTTAAATGGCTTATTTTTCTTGTGCTCTTTACATCACACTGTTTTTTTTTTTTTTTTTTTTTTTTTTTTTTTTTTTTTTTGCATAGGAAATTGGAGACTTTGAGAATTGGATGAAGACAATGGAGTTTGATTGTAAAAGTATAAGTACAGCAATTCGCAACATTCATCAATAGTGAACTCAAATATACACACAGCAAAACTTGCTTATTAATTCCAATGTATGTAATCTCTTTATAGATTTGCTACAATTGAGAATCCACTGTCTTACCATTTGTTTTTCTTCTTCCCATTTTCACTGGAAACATTTTTTGATGGAATCATCATTTTGCATTGGTATGTGCTGAATTGTTTTCCTTGTGTTGGGTAGTGGTTACAACATAACTAACGGGTAGCAGATCAGATTAATTGAACTAATTAGGACTGCTTATAAAATTATTGGTTCTTGAAAACTTTTGTCAACTTAAATGGTTGATTTCTGTGCTTTAAACACTGAAGGGGAAACTACAATTCCTGTGATGATTAAGCGTTCCAGAGTTGGGTTGATGCAAGAGTCAGATTAGGTTATAAAAATAAGCACACCAATTGTTTGATATCTGAACCTACAATTTAGGATGATAGATATTATTAATGGCCTTCACCATAATGGAGAGCCTGAATCAATGTTTATATGATATAATGCATGGCTTGCTAGATGCTCTGGTTAAAGAGTTCACTTTGTAGGGTGGGAGTGCAATGGTTAGTCATTGGGTCGGCTAGTTTGGAGCAAGTATGATTGAGGCTATACTTCTGTCAAGAGGAGCCACCTAATCTGCTGGAGCCAATTCTGTTGTTGGATGCATCTCATGATCAATGTACTGGTTGTTTGTTGTGAAAAAAAAATGCTGATTAAATGACACGCTTGTGTGAGCAAATCTTCATTGAATATATAGAAATTTTTATTGGTAGAAAATTTAAGCGTCTAAGTTTCAATCGAGAGGTCAAAAGTCTTGGCAGCAACATGCAGCAATGCTTTTTGAATCAATGACATTTTGTATCTGACTAAGCTTAATTTGTCATCCAACACTCTATAGGCTAATTTTATTCCAAGTAATTTGATATGGACGTAAACTGGTTTTCTTCTCTCCTGATTCCTTATTTCTGAGTGTAAGCAAGTGTTTTTTAATTTGACATTTGCATGAGACTCTCATCATGTTATAATGAATGTGCCAGTTTTCTTCTCTCATGATTCCTTATTTTTTAGAATAAGCAACTATTCTTTAATTTTACTTTCACATGAAACTCACTCAATATTCTCATGAATGTGAGTTGTGCTATTTTGTGGATTTTTTTGACATTTAATATTTGGTGTTTTCTCACTTGAAATTTTTTTTTTTTTTTGTGAAGAGTTTTTCTTGCTTGTTCTGTCTCTTTGCACTCTGTTGATGCCAGGATAAAGTTCAAACCAATTTTTTTCCTTTGTTATGATTATTGTTATCAGAGCAATTATCTGCCAATTTGTTTGAACACACTATCCGATGAATAAAAACCATCTGATGGTGAGATATTTTATGTATATGTATGCACAAGTACGAATTAAGCTAATTTTTGGTAGTTATCATTTTATTTATATGTTATATTCAATTTATTCAACTTATTTAATAGGATATTTATTTATTTTATCGAAGATGATTTTGCATAATACACTTGTTCTCTCTTGCATGCTTCAATACGAGACGGTATAATCATATCTTATCTCATGTTTTCCTGTCATTCACATCAAGCGCATACAATTTTTTTGTATATATGTGCTTGAGGAAAAGAGGTAGAAGCAGAAGTCTACCTGTGTGTGTGAATATTTTGCCCTTTTATTAATTAGTTCACATGATGTCACTTGGACCTTGGGAATACTAGGCAAGTAGGAAACCTGCGTGCTAAGAGCATTTCTGAGTTGTTTTGCTATTAGCACACATAATACAATAATTTAAACAGATCAATGTCTTACATGAAAAATCAGAAACTAGAAATCCAAATTCAACAGGGAAATCTACACAAACATGCTCTTAATCTTAATCTTTATTGTTTCAGTTGACAATTAATTGAAGAGACCAGTACTAAATTAACCCACTATTGACCAACTTTATTTATCATAGAGGTTTAGTTTACTTTCCGGCAATTGGTCCTGATTTGTCCGTTAGTACCTGTAAGGGGGCTGAGTTTCCCCATCTTAACCATTGCATTGGCAAAATCTTCATAAAAAGCAGTAGGATTGGTGCTGTAGGTTTTGACCTGTGCTTCGGTAGAGCCACCACTGAAAAGCTGCTGATCTGAGTGTAGAAGGCCTTTGTTGTGAACCAAATTGTTGAAGTAAGCATTGTCAAATCTAACAGGACTAGTAGCATCTAATGGTGAGAGGTTCTCATCACCGCTTGTGCTTGGGCAATTTGATTTTAGTGATGTTGCCAGTTCTGAATCCAAGTCGGTCTCATTGTAGAGTCTGCCTCTAAACAACGAGCACTGAGCTTGACCTATTGTGTGAGATCCTAATCATTAAAATGTAGAAATTAATTAGTTTGATTGAAACCAAAAGATATGTTAATACCAACATGGATTGACAACACCCAAATATTAAGTGATATTGATATTTGAGAAGCATTTGTATCTTGCCTGAAAGAGCAACCATTTCTTTGGCTGTGAACCCTTTATTTGAGAAGGAAGATATAAGGTCACTAAGACCCATTAGCGGAGAGGGGATATTATCAGTACTTGCAGCATCAAAACTCGCAGTGGTGGAGTCTCTTCTGCCCAACTCAACTTGCCATGAAGGACCACCTAACTGTAGAAAACGAAAAGGGTATTATTAAATTCAAAAATGTGCTCTATAACTACTATGCATGTTAAGCATATAAGAACTTATCATTTATGGTGTTATATATATGTATATATATGGAACTGATCGTGTATACTTACAGCGGTGACTGAATCTCGAGCTGCAACGGCGAGGATATCAGCACAAGAAACAACCCCAGGGCAGATAGACTCAACTTTAGATTTAATTGTGTCAATCACTTCAAAACCTCTCAAAGAATTAGCATTTGGACTTGCAGTCTTCTCTCCCTTGAAACTTGGGGGGATATCATCTAACAAAACAGATGCATCGCATCCCTGTTGAACAATAGAAACAAAATCAATCATTCATCACCTGTGATTTTTTATTTTTCAATTAATGATTCTAATCTTGTCAATATATATATTAATATGAGCTTTCAAGAATTATTTTCATAGAAAATCTGCAAATATTTGATTGGCTTGAAATTTGATGTACAAAGATACAGCAGTATTTTGAAATTCATAGAGTTTGTGGAAATTCAGGACTTCAAAACCTATATTTCTAATTCCATATATTTATATAATTTATCTTCTTTGATTTTGAGATTAAATCTATGAATTTGTAATTTTTCTTCACTAATTTGAAACTGTCAATTCATCATCAAGTCATTGAAGTAGAATCATCAATTCATTGAACCGACCACCTTTAAGTGTATGAAAAATCTGTACAGATAAGAAAAATTTATGAAATTGGAAAAAGAAAGAGAGCAAGTACATTAACAAAACAGTCATGGAAATGCAAACGGAGCAAAGAAGCACCCATGCGACGCTCCTCTGAAACGGCATTAAGCACCGCAAATTTGATAGTAGGAAGTGCTTTTGGACATGTTTTGGCATAGTAATTGGTGGATAATTGCGCATTATACCCTATGACAAATGATAAAAGAATACACAAATTTAAACCATAAATTTGTGAGCAAAACGCCATAATCAAAAGTGGAAATTAATTGTAATTTTCTCGACTCTTAGGCTTTGTCATGAACTTGTGCTAATTAATTAGGTCTCTATATATAGAGAGAAAAGAAGTGGACTCTGGACTGCCCATTTGGCTTTAATTTAGGTTTCCTAACATTTTTTACTCCAAAAATGTCAAATTTATCTTATGTGCACTTGTTAACAATTAAAAGAAAGATTCAAAATGCATGCCAAGGCATAGCCTAGTGGTAACTACATATACGACTCAGCCATAGATCAAAGTTTGAATCCCCTTCTCCAATACTCAAAAAAAAAAAAAAAAACATAATAATAATAAAAAAAAAAAAAAAACTACTATTATACTTGCATGTGTTTTTTCTTATAACGATAAACCCGCTTTATAATATAGTAATGCGAAAAATATTATTTTAGTTGCTATTTAGTCCCTGTGGTTGTCAACTATTAAAAATTAGTCCTTCCATAAACAATTTGTATTTTTACTGTTAAAATGCTTATTGAGATGACCAAAATACCCTTTATAAATAATATGAATAACATATTTTTCTCTCTACAAGCAAAAAATTAATTTTTAATAGTATGAATAATATATTTTAGCTTTTTTCATAATATAAATTAATGATTATAATTATAGAAAATAATTTTTGCATAAAGAAATACAATAGAAATAGAATAAAGGGTGTTTTAGTCTTTTTATTCAAAATTAATGATAAAGCAGTATAAAATTGTAACAGATAGAGTAATTTGTTCAATGATTGAATACCATAGGGATTAAGTAATGTACTTCTAAAAATATAAGGACTAAATAGTAAATTTTCTTAAAAATTTTCTAAAACTGAAACATGTTTTTTATTTATCCTAAAACCTCTTTTGGTTTAATTTAATAGATGTCCGATGGCCGAAATAATACTACGAGTTACACAATAAGGAATGACTCTATACTTGACTTACCAAATTAATTAAAACAATTGTGATCGAGATAATTAAAACTTAAAATTCCTGACTCCTAATATAAGTTAGAAGACCAACCAAACTATTAATGATTTGCTTTGCTGAAATAAGAATTTGTATCAAACTCAAAAACTAACACAAGTAACTACCTAATTAAATATTAAGGCTCTCACCTTCATCTTTCTTCTATAAACTTGAAAGTTGAAAGGTGGCAGGTAGTGTATGAACAAAAATCCCATGAGAATCTTTCAAGTCAACTGAACCATAGTGCTTCTTTCTCCTCCTTATCATGCATTAATTAATTGAAGACATTTTGCAAATTCCCCAAACTTTAGAGTTTCCTCCCTAATGTACACTATTAAAATGCAATGATGAAAGTGATTTCCAATTAAAAATATGATTAAATATTGGAATCCTGACCTAATTAAGTCTTAAAGATTCATATTAGCCACCTAGAATTCAACTTCTTGAACATGTGAAGTGGAGGACAAACTTATAAAATTTTCAGGAAAAATAATAAATTAGTTTCTAAGTTACAGGTAAATTGTAATTATGAAAATTTATATTTTAAAATCTGTAAATTATGATTTTATTAACACTTTGATCATTCCGTCCAAAAATAGAAGGATTAAAATTTGAAAAGAAATCATAAGAGAATGATCAAAGTGTTTTGATTATGAATCAATTTCTCAGTCAATTGATAGTTAAAAGAGAATATTTTGGATAGAATGACCAACTTCTTAACAGAATCATATATAAGGTAAGAATCTTATAGTTCGCTTTTGAAAATAAATGTCCATTTGTGTTAATTTGACTATACTCAAATAGCAATTTATATTTTCCTCTAAAATTTTCTCATCGCTTGATTTTTTTTATCTCTTTTATAGCGATCTTAAGAACACACTTTTCTGTATGCATTCGAAACATTAGTTCTAATATTTTTAGTGTTCACAGCAAAAATTGAATTTTAGTTAATCAGAAAGAACAATTCTTTCTTTTTTACTCACTAAATTAATCTAAGTAGAATATACTTTAAAATTTTATTTTTAGTTGTAATTACCAGAAGATATTAATTAATCCAATAGCTTTTCTGTTAAATTCCATTTTATTTCTAATATTTCTAACACCAATTTTTTTTTTCTTAGTGCTTTTGATTAAATTAAACAACATTTTCTGTGCCAATGTTTTTATATTCTAGAGTAAGTAACCTTTCGGTCTTTAAGATTTCATCACAATTATAGCTTTGTTGATTTTCTTTGGTAAATATACTTATTAGTCCTTAAAATTTAATTTTATGAAATGATTTCGTCCTCCATTTAAAATATGTCAGTTTTATCATTAATTAAAGAATTAAAAAATAATTTAATATTAATAATAATATTATAATAAATGTGAAAGCAATCTAAATTCATAGATAGGTTACAAATTAGAATAAAATTTGATTTTACTACAATGGTTAAATGAGGAAAAATAAATAAATATTAAAGGGAGTAAAATGGTTAAAGGAGCAATAGAAATGAGAGATCAAACTTTCTGTTATTAAAGATTTTTTTTCCCCCAAAGACAAAGGAGCAATTGCCTCTCTTGAATAACACATGGGTATTTAACTCTAAAATAATATTTTTTTTAATTGAAGAAATAAACAATTTTAAATTTAAATCTTAAAGACTAATTAGTATATTTATTAACTAAAAAAATGAAATTGTAATTATGAAAAGATCTCAGAAACTAAATTGTTATTAAGTACTTATTTACATTAAGTATATAGGCCTACAAAGATACCAAACGGATTAAGGCCGGGTTCGGTAATAATTTTTGAAGCAAAACATTAAAGTTCCATAACATAACATTTAAACAGCTTTAACTTATATAACGTTTACCTGTTAACGTTTCATGAAAAGCTATTGTAAAATAGCTAACAACTATAAAAATAACTAATTTTATCTTTTTTTTTTTAATTCAATCGATGGTATTTTTGGCTTAATATTATGATAATTTTTTATTTGATAAAAATCTTTTGTCTTCTATTGAAGCCTAAATCTTCAATTCTGAGAGGGCACAGGCTTCGATGAAATACAACCCTAATTCAACCGAGCTGGCCTCGATAAATGGGCTTCGGCCCAATCATGAACGTTTAATTCATTCAAAACGATGCGTTTTTTTCGAAGTCACTGCCCGCTCTCTGCTGTGTCTCATTCTATCTGTTTCGACTTCGGGTCTCTGGTTGAGCATGGCAATCTCTTCTCTGCGATTTCCACTCTCTCCATTTCTCGTTAAAAGCCCAAGAGAAGCCTCCTTCAAGTTTCTACTAATACCGATATTACCATCCAGGGTTAGCCTATTATGCTCTTCTTGTTTTTGTTCCGTTGAATCTCCATCCCCACCGTCCACTTCTCATACTTTAGATTACTCAGCTCAGAAATGGGTACCCTTTCGAAAGAAAAAGGTCGTTTTGCGGGTTGGATACGTAGGAACTGAATACAGAGGTCTGATTCTAGTTTCCAGTTCATAATATGTTGCTACTTTTTTTTTTCTGTACTTTTTTGTAGTCTGTTTTGAAGCTTTGTTTCTCATTTCAGGTCTCCAAAAGCAACAGGAAGAACACTCATTACCAAGTAAGCAATTAAATTTGAACCTTGATATAATTCCCATGCTTATGGAAATAGATATTTGGATGGTAGTGCAGAGAGAATGGTCTGATTCAAAGTAATTGAATTTAATGGGTTAAGCTAGGATTATTAAGCCATTTGCTAAAATGGTGCTTGCAACCTTGAAATTTAGCTATTGAAGAAGAATTGGAACGTGCCATATTTAAGGCTGGTGGAATTCTTGATAGTAATTATGGGAATCTGCACAAAATTGCATGGGCTAGAAGCAGCCGTACTGATAAAGGGGTGAGTTATACAAATTTTGCTGAATTTATTCCTTGTACATAAGTTTTAGTGCTTATGACATGTTTTGGTAATTATTTGCTTATTTGGTTTGATATTACGGCGTGAATTGTATTAGGTTCACTCATTGGCGACAATGATAACAATGAAGATGGAGATACCTGAAAATGCATGGAAGGAAGATCCTAACGGCCTTGCCCTTGCAAAACATGTTAATTATTATCTTCCTGATACTATCAGAATTTTCAGCATTTTGCCCTCACAAAAGTGAGACTCTGAACCTTTTTCCTTATACCATAAATTTCATTTGCTATATCAACAAACGAGTTTTTACATTTAGATTTTGAAGTTCCTATATATGTAGTCCCCATTTGCTTATCTCAGAATAACCTTGTCAAATTTTGCAATGAGAAGTTTCATGTTAAATTCATTTTTATAGTTGTTTGTATATTCTCTACCTAAATCAAAGCAGTTATAGTAACCAGAATATGGAAAGAAAAACATCACGTTTAAAGAATTCTTGGACACAAAAATTATAATGTCCTTAAATGGTATTCCATGTAGTTTATCGCAAAGTCTATTGTAATATGATTTTGTGAAGTTGCTAAAAGAGTAAGAGCGCAATAATGATGAAGTATAATATAGTTTGGATATGACACTGATGGAAGCTGTTTGGATCATTCATGAGAAGGTTTTAAAATTTTCACTTTACCTACTAATATGTAAATATTCTACATAATTGAGTTGTGGCAGTACTATTGCTTCAATGCCTTTCCTCAATATGTAGTTTTTCAAAATAAAGTTAGAATGATTTTTTTTGTCTGTCTTGGAAATGAATGCAAATCATTTTCATTCTGAATAACATTTCATAATTTTCTAAAGTAATTATGGTGTAGATATTTCTTCATTGGTCTGTGGATCTCTCATGTCATTTTTTATTTTCTTTTCTTTTGATCTTTGGCAACTGTTTTAGGAGCTTTGATCCTAGAAGAGAATGTGACCAACGCAAATATTCCTATCTCCTCCCTGCTGAAATTATTGGAATCAAAAGTCACTTTAGCCAAGCTGAAATTGATTTTCACTTATCAGACTTCAATGATATATTAAGTGCATTCGAGGTGTGGAGTCATTCTCTTTGTTTATCATTTCTTTCCCTTGTTGTGCCCTTGATTTTCTTTTCATTATCTAGTTAGACTTTTTAGTTCATTCTTTTTGGGACAAAGTGAGTTTCTTTCTGATGAATTTTGACTTTGAATTATATGGTGTTTGATTCTCCCACCTGATGATCAGTCCTTTTTCATTATAATGTAAATTGTGAATTTCTGATGCTTGGAAGAGAGAATATTAAAAACCACTGGTGTGCAATTACTTTGTTTATGGGATCCTTTCTTAGAAGCCCTATCGAAAGGGTGCTTCTATTGTTTTATGTTTATGCCAGATTTTTTTGGGGCTTCTGGCATGTAATAATGCTTGATAGTTGTGAATTTTCTTTGCAGGGGGAACATCCCTTTCATAATTACACAGTACGGTCCAAGTACAGGAAACAGTTTCCTGCTTCTAAAACTGGCCAGGTGTTAAAGAGAGCAAGATCTTCTGGTGAGAGATCAGCCACTGAATCTGAGAAAAGTGATGAAGAAGAAAATTATAGGACTGATGAAGTGATTTCGTTGGATCAGATAGAATCAACTCAAAAATCTGTAAAATCCAGCTTTCTGGATCAGGAAGGAGATATTCTGAAGGACAAACGAGCTAATGCAAGTATCCTTGCCAGGTGGCTGCATGAACCTGATGAGACAGATAGAATAGGTGCATCCCACTTCAGAAAGATCTTCTGCTGTTCATGTGGAAGGTTAGAGAAATCAAGGGGATTTGATTTTGTTGAAATTTCTATATGGGGCGAATCTTTCATGTTACATCAGGTAAACCTATTTTAATCTTTTGCCATTTAAACATGTCTTATATATATATATATTCCTTTTGGGGTTTCTGTCCTACATTTTGATTTCGAGGTGTCACATTATTGATTCTCTTATAGCAATAGTTAATAGAATACAGAGGGTATGCGTCCTTCAAGCTTCTGAATGAAGTCATGCTTTGCATTCATTAGTCTATGCTTGTGTGTTTTCACTTAACTGGCATTACTGGAAATGTCTACATATTAAGTTTTTAGTAGCATCTAATATTTAGTGTTACTTGAAATGGTTTCAAGATGCCTTTCTCAAACTTACAAATTTTAAACTGCTTCATATTTTGGGGCTGATATTCAAATTGCACCAACTGTGAGTTTTGTGTTCTCGAATGTAATACTTCAAGAACGAAGCTAAAAATTGCATGATTATGGAGTTATACCTGTTTCTAACAAAGTATTTGTTCGTCTAACTCTTTACTTATCCTAATAAGTAGGATTCAGATGAGCCAAGCCGAGCGTTGGCTTGCTCAAGCTTAGCTTGTTAATAAATGAGCTGATTGGAGTCAAGTATCATCAGGTTCATGTAAAGCTCGCGAGCCTAAACAAGCTTAACCAAGTGTTTTTTTCTTAAATAAGTTATAAAATTTAAATAAATTGTGAATTTTTTCAAATATTAAAATATATATGCTCAAAAATTTAATAATACTGAAATTTTTTGTAACAATACATAATGCTATTGAAAGTTGTTTTATTGGCAAACAATTTTAAAAATACATTTATGCATAAAAGTCATAAACAAAAAAAAGTGTATATTTATAAAAAATACTTTATGCTCAAATCATAAAAAAAAAAAAGTGTATTATATAATATTATATTTAAGTATATATATATAATATATAATATAAAGCAATTCTGTATGATATATATATAAAGCAAATTCTGTATGAGCAAACTCAAGAGCCTAAGCAAGCCAAACTTTGTTTAGGTTAGACTCGGCTCATTTGTTAAAAGATTTTGAGAAAACAATAATTCAGCCGAGCCCCAAGTGACTCGTGTGTTGCTCAGCTTATTTGCTGCCCACCAATAAGGAGTATGAGATTGAGAATTACAAATAAAGTTCTCCTTCTCTCTGTGTGTGAGTCTTACTGTCATTTTGTTTGGCTGTAATTCTTCAGTTCAGATGGGTGAGTAATTACACTTGTGCTTGAAATATTTACATCTCCGTTGAGGTCGTTTCACTAATTTTATGACATATATCATTATCTGGTTCACCAGATACGCAAAATGATCGGGACTGCTGTGGCTGTAAAACGCGGGTTACTCCCCAGAGATATTTTAATATTATCACTTGCAAAGTTCTCAAGGATCGTCCTACCACTCGCGCCACCTGAAGTTTTGATATTGAGGGGTAACAGTTTTGTACTGAGGAAAAGACCAGACAAAGGATCACGACCTGAGATGCTTACAATTGTTGAATCAGAAGAAATTCTCAAAGTAGTCAATGAGTTCTATGCTAATATAATGCTGCCTCAGGTGTCAAAATTCCTGGACCCTAATGGCTTTCCTTGGAAGGAATGGGTTGAAAATTTGGACGAGTACACAGGTATTCCAGCCGAACAATTGGTTGGAGTCAGGAGTGCTTGGAAAGTGTGGAAGGAAAATTTTCAGAAAAGAAGCAGTCTTGCATCAGTCATAAATGAGTGAAGAAAGGTAAATCACCTCCTATGTACTATTTATCCATATATTCACCATAAGCTTTGTTCGTTGACCTGATGAGGCAAAGCTGTAGACCAGTTGGTACCAGCTCTTTGTTGCCTGTAGAATGGTGATTTATTCTCAGATGTGCGCTCTGTTGCTCTGTGATTTGAACATGGGAGAACTAGGGGAAAACTTTGCCTCTGCTTGTTACCCCTTGATGGATGATCAAATACTAACACTGTATTCCCCAAGTTCAGTTATAAATTTGATAGTTTTTGATTTTTCACAAAAATTAAGAAAATGATTGAATCACCTTAATTCTAGAAAAAAAATAAGTTAATGGACTAAATTACTCTTTAATTAATGCTCGACTAATTGAAACAAAGCTTATTGCAGGTATCTAGACAAGGTAAAGAGGATAAAGCAAGCATTAATGCTATTTTGATTTTCTAAAAGTGTAACCTAACTGGAACTTAAAGAAAAAAGAGTTAAAAACTGTTAAATTCAATGGAACTGAGAGAGTAGCTTTGTGTTGATGGTTGGAAATTGCTCTAACAGAGTAGAGGTTCTTTGCAGAATACTATTAGTCTATTGGGACTTATTTGTAATAATGTTTTGGGGGCTTAATTGCATTTTGTTTGAATATTATTGCTTTAAACTGTAATAGTCTTTGCTGAGTTGTCAATTATGAGCTTGTGTGGCAAGATATGATGACGTGTATGCCACATTGGCCATAGTATATTAATGACCTGTTTTGCACTATTGAGAATTAATAAGAATATATTTCCTTTATGTCTCTTATCTTCTCTCTCTATCTTCATTCTCTCCCCTTTCCTTGATAAACAGCAAACCCTAATCCCCAATCTCTCCGTGATAGGTTTACCCCCATCTGAACCTAACAATCTTGTTACATATTGAATTTGTTGATGATTGCCAGATTGGATGCCTGCAATTGAAATAAGGAAAATGCCAAATTTATTACCCCAAATAGAATTTATTTACAAATTATATAATTTCCTTTAGTTATGTTGAGCACTAATAAAGGAACAAAAAGAAATTTGGAACATATGACAATTTGAGCAGATTCTGAAAATATTTGTTTTCAAAAAAATAAGTCAAACAAAGAGGAAAAGAAAAACTCAGATAAACAAACGCTTCCAAGATTTTGATGAAAGCCAATCATCAATCACTTTAGAAAAGTCAAACAAAATCAAGTGAGGTTTGACTCCGTAGGTGACTTTCCAGCCAAAAGAATAGAAAATTGGATTTGCTTCAACAAGTCTACACGTGTCCAATTTCAATGAATTTTTTTTTTTAGGATTGGGGAATTAAATTCGAACCTAACACTATTGTCAGATTATATATGCATTTATGAGCTATTTTTTGATACCAATGAAGTTAAAAAGATCTCATATACAAAAAATTCTCATTTATAGCATAAGATCACTTTTTTGTTTTTTAATGGTAAAATATATATTATTTTTTAACATTTTTTTGTATAAATAATTTTTATAAATTATATAGATTTTGTTTGGTACGAAATAAAAATATTTATTTTATTTTCATGAATTTAATTTTTCTTAAGCTATAATATAATTGAATTAATTTGATTTGTATCAAACAAGTGTAAGTATATATTTGCATTTAAATTTGATTTGATTGACTAAATGTTCACTTGTATAGCCGTTAAAATTGAAAAGGTATGCAAACTATTAAGAGTAATTAACACTTTTGTTTATTTACTTTCGAGAAATTACTCTAACATTTTTATTTTATTTTTTTTTAAATCCACTATCAACTCCTGAATTTTTGGACAGAAGGATCTGCCAGTTAGTTTGAATTTATAGTTAAGGAAATTAGAGTAATTTTTTGAAAATAAAGATAGAAAATTATTAATTAGGATAAAATTGAGGGACCCAAAGGTACGATAATGTAATGGAGGCTCAGATTGATGCACATGTGTACCACTTCATCAAACCACTTAAAACTGCCTCCACATTCAATGTATGGGGGCACGTACCTGTGTCTTCCTTTATTATTTTTCAATATGCGGATGAAATTAATCTATGTTTTCATCGAAATTAATATTTTATTAATAATATTTTATTAGTATTTTCAATAAATTATTTTTTTCAACAACTCAAACAGCAACATTCTCAAAGTAGTTAACATCATACAGTTCAATATTTATATCTTCAATAAATATGTAAGACAGTTCATTTTCGATAAATAACTTGTCTCTAAAAAATATTTTCTAAAAATGATATTTCCTTCAAAAATATTTTTTAAATAATTTATTTTTTATTATTTAATTGCAATATTAAAAGTTCGTTAAAAAATGTTAAAATTTTCAATTCATAACCATAAAAATAAAAATACTTATAATTATAGAAGTCTTATATTTCAAAAATTTATTATTCCTTCCATCCCAAAAAAATAGTTTATCTTTCCTTTTTGATTTGTTTCAAAATATAGTTCATTTTCTTTTTTTGCATTATGGTTAATCCTTAAATTATTTATTATACACTTATTAAATTTTACCTTATTTTCAATAATCCTCGTTAATTTTTAGTTATTATAATTACTCATGTGTTATTATCTTTGTTCTGTAATAATACTTGTCACATTTGAAATTTCACGTCCCTTAAGAAAATCATTAAATTTGTATAAGTTACAATAAATTATTGAATAAATTGATTATATTAGCCTCAATTTAATATTAATTCTCTAAAAAAATTATTAAATTGAAGTAAGAATTATTGGTCATATATAAAAAGTAAACATTAAAAAAAATATTTATTACTCTTTGAAACCACAAATATGAGAAGTATTTTGGCACAAACTATTTTCTTAAATGTGACAAGTATTCTGAGACATAGCTAGTATTTAAAATGGACAAAATAAGAAAGTTATATAAATAAAATTGTCCTTTAACTATATTTCTTAATCTGTATAAAAGTAAAAAACTGACTATTTTTTTTTAGACGGGGTATTAAATATGAGAAAAGAGCATAAAAATAATAAATTATGATAGTTGCCACAATAACAGGTGAATTATGGTGGTGACAAACAGTGATTAATAAATTAAAAGATATGTATTTATAAAGTTATAATTAATATTCTGAAAATCAATCAATCAATGTACAAGTGAAGACTTCACTTTTAATAATTTTTTATTAAAAAAATAAAAAAACTTCTAAGATGTCAAACAACAGTCAGCTCAACGTAAGCATAAGTGTTAATAATTATTTTTTAATTAAAAATTAAGAGAATAAACATTATTAATGGGTAATACACATAAAATTGTTAATTAGCCGTAATATGTAGTTGGGCATTGTAAATGTACAAATAATTGGTTAAGAGAGTCATATAATAATGAGTAAGGAGTACACGTGGGGCAGCATCCTAAATACAGTTTCCATTGCAATTACCAATTAGACCTCTCTTAATTAGTTCGTTGGGTGAAAATCAAAAGGGCCCCCCCTTTCCCTGCCAGTGTTTATTTACCCTCTTCGTCTGCCAAAATTTCCCAATAATACAACAATAGAATACTATTTTCGTGTAACCTTTTTATTATTTGGGTGAATATCATTAAACGAAAAGACTATTTTTTGCTATTAATTAAAGAAATTTGTTTGAATTTGTTCAATAATTTTAAAATAAGCGGAATTCAAATTTAAGCCTATAAAAAATATTTTTTTAATTATATATTTTAAGCGAGCATGAAGCTTGAGTATAAATATATGTTAGATCGATTCAAATTCAAATTCAAAAGAGCTCGACTCGTGGGTATAGAAATGAAGTAAAAATGATGGTGAAAAATTAAAAATATCAAATCTTATGTTTTTTTTCCTGGTTTCAAACAAGAATGCCAGCGTCGTTGCCTTTACACGACAAACTTGTCAACAAAATTTAATAAGGTAAGACAATAATTTGTTGGGATTGACATTGTCGGTTGGTGCTGGAAGCCAAGTAAATACCAAATCAGAATTTGTATTGCCAAGAATTCAACGAAGGTGATAATGCAACCAAAATAGCAGCAATTAATTTTGGCCGGAAAGTTGTCAACACAGTCCAGAATTTTCAAGCTTCGTCTCATTCTCATCAAGAACTTATATAACAAAAGCGGTTGCTAAATCTTAATTATTTTATTTCGTTCTGTTTATAAATAAACATGCACTAAAGTAAAAAAAAATAGATTATTTACCGAAATAATATTGGAATTATCTTCTAAAATCTTCCTTCAAAAAAAGAAAATACGATTGAAAAAAAAAAGTTGCATGTGTGGATGACCTAATTCAATCATCAATCTTGCATCACTAGCACTAAGCACAGGAGATATTGTTCTTTACGTCTTCCTCACTTGTTATTGCTGATGTGAATTTAAGGAGGCAGAAGGACCCACATTTCCATAAACAAGTTTGAATAATCATAATTTACATACCATAGGTTTCTCAATAATTGGACAAAACCCAAAAAATAAAAATAAAAATCTCTTAATATTTAGCATTTTGTTGAAATTTTTTCAACTATTTGCCCTTTTTCAACTGTGGATGACTCTTGATTTTATCAGTATGTGTTTTTTCAACGATTTGCCTTTTTTCAACCGAGGATGACTCTTGATTTTATCAGTATGTTCTAATAAGCACTTATCGAGAACATGATAACCATGGAATATTTTTCAATTCTTCATTCTTTGTTTTATTTCCATTAATTCCTTTTCTTTCTTTTATCCTGTCTTCTATGCGGTTGGAAAAAAAAAATATAAAATTAGTTATAATTTTTGTGGTGGAGAGGTCTCGAGATTAGTAATAACTTTTATAGTGAAGATGACTCGAATTCGAGATCTCTCACTCCTTACATCTTTTACGAGAAACTTGAGAAGCTTTGAAAACGAACTCAAATTTATTTAGTATTAAAAAGATAAAAAGATACATGAAAATTTTAATTGCATCGATCGATGTTATAATTTTGTCTTTTTCGATAAATCAAATCTCCTAGTTTTGTGAATGTCCACTGCATTAAAGAGTGTCTTATTACATGAGTCACTCCTCATAAATAATCAGTATTATGATTTTTTTTTATATATATAATCAGAGAATATAATCCTCAATAGACGATAGAGCATAAAGACTTAATCAATATTATAATTTAATAGTATTAAAAGTTACTTTTTATTTTTTATATATTTTATTAAGTGTATAATTTGTAGAGGCAGAACCAAACTCTATAGTTTGGGTATAAAAAAAATTAAAAATTTTGAAAAATAAAGGGAAAAAACATAAATTTTGA